GCGGCGCGCGATCGATATGCGTCGCTCTATACATACGCTTCTTCGCGAAGAGGAAAGAAATTTCGTCGCCCTCGGCGAGCGAACGCGCACTTTCGCTCATCCCCCCGTAGCGCGCCGATCGGGAGGAGACCACGCGGTCCCACGCCGGTATTTTCGCGTTCGCCGCGGGATCAAGACCGGTTTAATTTCGGCGAGGTCCCCTCGCGTCCCGCGCGATCGTACGAAAATCATCGCCGCGCGTCGTCTATTCGCGGCGCCGCCGTTGAAGAACACCGACATCGACGGAATCGAACTTGCGTTTCTTAACGCTTCTACGGTCGAACGTGTACTGTCGATTCGAAGGGTCGAGCGATTTTCGTTTATGGGAAAGGTTCGCACGGAAAAAAATTAGGAGAGAAGTCTCCCTTAATATCTCCGCTATTAACCCTTTCGCTTCGGATGTCCAGTCCGCCGAAGTACTGTCTCTGTACGGGCGCGCGCGCCGCGAATACGCACAATATGCGTTGTTGCTTTATATACGTTTTCCTAGGTCTTAAGTAACAATTTTGCTAAATAAAACAATCTTTGTTACTATATAATGATTATTATTTACATTTTTGGTATGAAAATATTTACAACTTAAAAGTTACTAGTAAGATTTAAATTTTAATTAATTATTGTCCGCAAACAAGTTAATATATTAATATAAAGTGATTAGTAGTATAAGTTAGTATGATAAATTCTGAAGCACGGATCTACGCATAAACCAACATCACACTCTTTACACTCGTATCGTGAGTCGGATCTTTTGTCATTCTTACTGCAGACGACACATCGCGCGGCCGCCGCTTATAAGCGGCGCTCGTACGCACAAGACATATTATGCGCGCCGCTTATAAGCGGCACTCGTACCCACAGGACATACTGTGCGCGCCGCTTATAAGCGGCGCTCGAAGCGAAAGGGTTAAATGATTACTCATGGAATGATTTGTTTAACAGCCCGCCGATACGCCAATATACAAACAGCCGGTATTTGTTACAACGCATTTTCACTTTCGTACATCTCGAAATGTTTTACAGGTACATTTTAGCAATTTAGTTACACATACTTCCTCGTTCTTCTTAAACTCGGGTATATCATCACACGAATATATAATACACTCGAATGTTTTGTTCGTTACTTTTATTCCGCTGTACAAATTTCAAGTTGTCAAGTTAAACAATGGAATGGCATTTTGTTAATTTGGCCCTTCCCTTCTGCCTCACTAAAATACATTCAATACTCTTGTTCGAAGTTCTCATGTCGAAATAGTTATTCGATAGATCAATAATTGAAGTTAAATTAAAAAATCTATTCGTCTTGCAGAAACTGTCCTTTCGGCAGTTTGTATCCACCTTCTGATAAGCAAGTCTTTATATTCAAGTATTTATTATTGAAAATTCACGGTTATATTTATTGTTGTTCCTTCTAAGAGATTATTTCGAGTAAATTTGTTACAGAACTGTGTTTTTTCTTTAAATCGAAGCCAATTTCTTTTTAATCCATTCTTCTGGAGCCGGTCGCAAACGTCACAGTTCCAACATGAGCTGTCACAAAGCCGAGCACGTCCGAAGAAGCCGCGACGGAATTATCCATGCCCCCCTCCCTACCGCTAATTAGACTTCCCCTCGCGAAATGCTCGGTCCAGTTATTCATATGTCGATGTATCCGAAGTCGTTGCCGGAGCTATTTGTCCGTGTTTCCTATAATCGATCTAGCGTGAGAGCGTCGTCGGCAGATGCATGCCTCGAATATAGCGTCACGCTATGACACAGCGCGAACCGTCACTTTTCTGCTAAANTTTCTGCTAAACCCCCCCCCCCCCCCCCCCCGTTTCACTATCTTACCTCATTCTGCGCTAAGCAATCATTTTTATCTCTCGAAACCGACGATTCTCAAAAACCGGCTTCCAACGGCGACGTGTCTGTTTTTTTCTTCGTCGCCGCATAGACGTGCGTTGTATCCAGGTGGAACGGAAAGTCACGTGATGACGTCGAAGGAACGAGAAAACGATCGAATCACGATCAAGAAATGGATTTTAATATTATAGAGGACGGTATTCATAGTCGAATCTTATATTTAAGACCGTCTTGAGTTCATCTTCGGATGTTTCGTACAGCTCAGCTGAAGACGGTCTTGATAAATATAAGATCTGGCTATGAATACCTGCCATAGAATCATTCTCCCATCATCATTTTCACATGATCGTGATCTTCGTCTCATCCGGGAAGGATCTTACGATTCTACGCTCGCGTTCGCTGAAGAAGAGGAAGAAGCGCGCGCGTGTACGAACGAGTTCGGAGAGGCGCGCTGAATAATTCACCGTGCGCGCGGCGGCTACCATTTGCGTGGAGTCACCTTCGTAATCGCCTTCGTGAAAATTTCAGTTCCGCCGGGCGGTCGCCGTACGCGTTACGTACATGTATTGTTTTTCGCGCGGTCGGCGGCTCGCGATTCGTCGTTCGCGCGCCGCCCAGTCAAACGGACGAAATAACGATTCCACGACTATACCATGCGGCCTGTCAGATGGCGAGGAACCCGTGGCGACGATATTCACGGCTCACCCCGTCCGTTCGATCGCAAGGACCGCGAACGCGCGAGAATTCGGCCGCTCGACGTTCGTATTTCATTGCTGCGAGAAGCGCCGTACGAAAACGACGCCTCTTGTTCGCTCTTCACTCGCTCGTCGATAAGAGCGCAATCGCCGACGCGAGATTATGTTTTCCCGTGACCGAGGCGTTTAGAAAAGTGAACCCGGCTGTGTGTGAGAGAGATTATCTCCGCGGCGTGCCAATCTATCTTACTAGAGCTCTGCGTACAGATGTCTTTCGTAATCGATAAGTTTGATAAACGACGATTATTGATAATGTCGATTGTTAATCGAGCGAGCGTATCTACCGTCTCATGTACGGCCGAGAACGCAATGCAGAACTTTTGGGGAATATAATCTATACGTGCGATCCTCTCTCTCTCTCTCTCTCCCAAAGTAGAGCACATGGCGAATACGAGCGAGCGAGCATGCGAGAAGGAACGCGAGATCGAGAGGGAAAGAGAGAAAAAAGAGACATAAACGGCGAGAGAGAGAGAGAGAGAGAGAGGAAGAAGGGAGTCAAGACGCTTCTCGCACACTTCAGCCCCTTATCTATATAGACGTTCGTACAGATAATAATTTAATGTTTTCAGTTTTTATCTATAAACAGTCACTTATCGTCTGTCATCCCGAGCGTTCGAGCCTAATCGGCTTAATCCGTCGCCATCGGCGCGATTATGCGTTATCTGACACCACTGTCAAATTGCCGCACTGACACACATACCGGGAAAGTGGAAATAGTATATAGGCAAAGCGGCGGGAGGTGTAGGGAGAGGGAGGGGTAGCGAAACGAGCACTGAAGGAGCGACTGTATACCGGGGCGAGAGAGAAAGAGCGCGCGCGAGAAGAAGCGTGAGGGAGAGAGAGAGAGAGGAAGGAAGGTGGGGAAGGAAAGGTAATAGGAGAAAGGCAAAAGAAACTGTGGGAAAGGGGTGCGGAGGACAAGGGCGACGACGATTATGACGACGACGGTACGGCTGGGTACGATAAATTTTCACGCTTTACACCCGCCTGTAAATTCCTCGAAGTGAAGGAGATTCGTGCTAGAGCGCTCACCGATGAAATTGATCAAAATCAATACCTGGTAAAAAGAGAGAGAAAGAGAGAGAGAGAGAGAGAGGGAGGGAGGTCGAGACAGAGCAAGAGAGGGAGAGAAAACGCAGGAAAATTATAGCGACTCTCCCACTCTCTCTCTCTTCCCCCTCCCCGCTTAGCCTCAGGTAGATCTAATTTGCGTTGCTACGAGAGCGATAGGTTTCCTCTGTGATGCGGTCTTTCGCTAAAAGGTCCTTATTTCATCGAAAAAGGAGAAAAAAAAAGAAAAGAACGCAGATCGATCGATAAGAGCGAGCGAAGGCGACCGACCGACCGACGTCTCCATCGCACGGTTCAAGCTGCGTAAGAAAAAAAAAACCCTTCGTCTCGAATACACCCCCGTACTTTACGCGAAGCCGGACACCGTCGGCTGCGCGAGACCACCCCACCGTCTTGTCGCGTGATAAGGCCCACGAAGCTAACAAAGCGGATCTCTCTCCGTCATCGTCGCGATCTCGGCGAGGTCGATGATGAGACTGCGACGGAACGGGCGAGAGACGGGCAGCGCGAGCGGGTGATACGGAAACACACGGGTAGGAAGACCGTCGAGCGTAAAAAAAAGTCACCGGTGATTCGGACAGAGAGAGAAAGAGAGCGAGAATGAACGAGAAAAGGGGTGATCGAGCGGCCGGGGTGGGCGATCGGCGGTAACGGGAAACGGCGGCTGCGAGGGAAGCCGGCAGTAGCGAAAGGAAGGGACTCGGGGAAAACGAGTGTATATAGCGTAGCCGAAAAACGCGTCGGTCGCATCGGCTAGAGCGGTCTCCTCGCAGGCAGGCAGGGAAGCCCGGCTTTGACCCGGTAGCCGGCGCGACACGGCACAGTCCGCGCGCTGCCTGACGCATTGCAGGTGCGCGCCGGCCAATCACAGGCCCGGTTAGTTCGCCCGGACTCGTCCTGTAAACACGACCGCACCCACCCCGCCGTGTAAAACGGATTTGTTACGGGGCGGTCGCGGGTACGCGAGCCGGCCCGTGGCCGCGCCACGTCGCGCGCGGCGTTCGCCTTCGTCGCCTTCTCTCCTCATCTCTCTCGCCGTCTTTTCTCTCTCACTCACCCGGCCGTCCCGTCCTCCTCCGCTGGCGTCGTTCTCGCTCGCGCGAGGCCGTTCGCGCGATTAAAAACCGCCACGGGCTTTTTTTCCGCACCTTTCGGCAAGCTGGGGAAGTCGCGCGCGCGGCCTAGCTCGCGACCGCGTAGGCGACCGGTGCGTCGCGGCCGCCGCGCGAACTTACCCCGCCGCGCTCCCCCCGGCCCAACGGCGCGCGCCGATTGGCGGAAGCGCGGGTCGTGAGGGGACGGCGTAGTGATACCCGGGCGACGAGACCAGCGGCGGCCCACAGAGAGCCTCGCACACCGAGAGAGAGACACCGCGGACTCCATTGCTGCTCCGAGTGCGTTTCTCGCCGGACTTGGTGATCTCCCTCCGGTTTACACCTGCGTGATCTGTCTGTCCTGCCGCGTCGTGCAACGTACAAAAGTTACCGCTGCCCTCACGCCCCGAGGAAAAAATAATAAACGTTGGCCAAGCTCCGAGACGGCAGACCGTTGCACGGCCAACCGACCGATCCCCGGAGCTCTGCGGAGTGAACAAGTACAACAACGTTTGTTGTCCAGTGTGCGGGTGCGGGTGTTCGCAGCCGAGAAGAGCCTCTCGCGCGTAACCGAGAAGTGAAAGCGGAGCCACCAAAATGGTAAGTACACTCGCTTCGTCCGTGTACGCCACCGTCATCGTCGTCGATGCGAGAGAGAGAGAAAGAGACAGACAGAGCGAAAGAGACGGAGAGAGAGAGAGAGAGAAACTAATGCCGCGTGTATAACGTCGTCGTCGTGTAACTCGCCGCCACCGCTTCCTCGTTTCTTCCTCGTACGCGTGACGTGCGAACGAGGGGGAAAAAAAAAAGAAACCGCATCGTCGGATTCGACCGCGAGGAGACCGTGAACCTCCGAAGGCTCTCGGTTCGCCGCATTGACGCGTCGCCGAGCGCACGTGCGGCGAACGCAGCGAGTGGAGCCAGCAGCCCAAGAGAGAGAGAGAGAGAGAGAGCGAGCTATGTGCGCGATTTTCGTCGCGACGGATGCGGCGTTTGAACTCGTCCGTGGTGTCGCGCGCGCGCTCCATCTTTCTTCCTGTCTCTTTCTCTCTCTCGTTCGCTTTGCTCGTTATCGCCGTCGTCGCTGTCGGGACGGATTTCCTTTTCTGGAACGATCGCCAACAAGCCCGTCTCTCTCTCGCGCCTCGATTTGTCCCCGTCTTGTTTCCTTTTTCGCCTTTCCTCCGACCGTTGTTAACTGTTTAGTGGTTCAAACGCGTTTCGTCCGGAGACCACCTCAACCGACTCGCCGCGATTATCGATCCGTATGGGCCGTCTATACTTCTTGTCGTGCCTCTTTGCCAAGTTTCTTCCGCAGCAACGAGGAAAATCTGCATCATCCGTACGAGCGGAAGTAACCGCCGATCGATCGTCGTCGCGTAAAGAGAGAAAGAGTGAGCAAAGGCAAACGAGCGAGAGGGAAAGAGAGAGACACATACAGAGAGCGTGTGAGCAAGCGAGAAAAAGATGGCGGGAGGCTGTCGAAAATGCCTCGTCGCTGTTTCCCCATTTGCGCCGTTCGCTGGCGGAATATTCGCGAATGGGAGCGGTTCTATCCGAAACGCTGCTTCGAACGCGCCTCCGCGCGTTCCCGGAATTTCCACCGTCACGCTTGGCTGGCCGGTCGCACGTTACGAGCTGCACGAACGAGACAGGTGGCCGAAGATCTTTCACGACGCAGCAGCTAATTTCGCCGCTTCCAGCTAACCTAGCCGTATTGTCAGCTTGACGACTATATCGCTCTACTCCTCTGGATTATTTCGACGAGCATTTTCTTCTCGTTCTCTCCTCCGTCCGTTCGCTGAATTCACGCTGCCTTTCCGCCGGAGAATACCAACGTCGCAGCGTGTCGCCTCCACAACTCTCTTTCTTTCGTTCGACTTCTGTATTTACACTTCTCTACACTCTGCACTCGATGATAAAATATATATTCAAAATTTAACGGGAGGGAGTAGAAGAGTGTGCAGACGTTGCGGGAGAGTGTAGGAAGTGTAGCTCAACAGAACGTCACCGGGTCCTTCGGTGTCTTTCTCGACGACGAGAGAGAAAGAGAAATACCGGCCGACCACGGTTCTTAACGGCGTTCTTGGCCAACGGTCTTAAGACCGGTCCTCCTCGTCGCGTAAAATTGAAGGAAACGATGCGGAACTATGGCGTCGCCGTCGTCGTCTCTCTTTCTAGCACGCGCGTTATCGTGCTACCGCGATCTTCCTCCTTCTCGCACGCCTCTCCTTCGATCGGCCGGAGATACTCATCAAAGCACGAAATACAAGACGCGTGCGAGCGCGCAATACACACCCAACCGACCGCTCCTTTTGCATAACACGCACACACGGTCACTCGATAATCACCTTTAAGGACGTGCGTCCGGTATATGTCTCTGGTTACGTTTTTCTTGCATACGATCCGGATCGCCTCCTCTCACGTACTCTTCTTTCCTCACGCGCCTCCTCTCAGGCATCGTAAATCTCCGAAAGATACGTCTGCAACGTACTAACCGTCGTCACCTCGAAACTGAAAATGCGAAATTAGGTTTCTCGCGTCTTTTTAAATCTTCGAACGATACATACGACATCGCACGCACTTTGGGTTCATCGCGATTCGGCTCCGCGTCCTCAACTCGAAGTTCAAATCCGCGTACGAGCTTCACCTGAGACCGAGTTTCAGGTGACACGGTTATTAATACGCGGACGCTTTAAACACACTCGTGCCGCCTGGATTTTTATTTTTTATTTATCCCTCGGGGCGACCCGCGCACGTTGCGGTATCCGTTCGGCGATCAACCGTTAGCGGCGATACACGCCGCTCGCTATTGATTTTCGCGCTTCCTCACGCCGTGTCGTAGCGTCGACGATCCCCGCGCGCTCCTTTTACGTTCCTTGCTGCGGTGTGGTGCCACCGTCGTCGTGTATACGCGTACACACCGTGTCTATATGAGCTGCGGCATCGCTCTTTCGTTGCGGCCTTTTCGACCACGTATTCTCGTCTCACCGCCCCGACGCGACTCTCCTCCGTGAACAGTCACCCTCCCCGAGTTTCCGTCTCTCGCCATATTACCGACCGGAACACGGGCGCGTCTGACGTTTGAAAAGTGAGGTTAACCGCACGTCCGGGCGTACATCAGTGTCGTGCGTTTTCCCTTGGATCGAGCACTTTCGTCGAACCGAAGTCTCGATGGTGAGTGCAGGCCCATTGTTAGACGTGAAGTATGTGTGTGTGTATGCGATAACTGAGAGCGATTACGCTCGAGCGTACGAAACTATACGAGGAAAAAGGCGCAGTGATAAAGATATTTGGTGAAAAATAGTATAACGCGCAACGACGCAATTTGTAGTGCAATTTCCTCCCGTATCTCTCTCGCGCGCGCATTAAATTGATTATCTCGCTGCACTTTAATCCTACGGCGAATGAGCGTCGAGTCGGTAGCTGTTTGTAATTAGTTCGAGAATAACTTGCGTCACGTATCTTCTCAAGATCTCGCCGTATATTCGCCGCGACTTTCTAAAGACGTCGGGAAATGTCGCGTGGTATTGATTTATCAGGGTAGGAGAAAGGTGACTATCTGTTTTTGGAGTTGCTTCGAGTCCCCGTGACACTTCTCCCCCGCTCATTTGTTCTTACACGATAATATCCCGATGAAATAAGAGAAATATTTTTGTAAATGCATCGCAGGTAGTTCGTGCATATATAAATATATACACGTATAATGTATGCGTACACATTTGGAGAAGAATCAAAATTTATTTTCACATCGTCAGTGCGATGTGTGTGTGTATCTATATTTGCAGCCGCATAGTATTTGCAGTGAATCACATCGCTGCTTAAAGCCTTGTTGGAATCGGAGTGATCTCCAAGAGCCGCGGGATTTCCGCATTTTTGTGTACACACACATACACGCATAAAATTAAGCGACACGGATCGCATCATCGCGCTATTTCTGTCCGTCATTGTCAAACGCATCTCATTACCTCGCATTATTTAGTCTGTTTAGAATTAATTAAAGCTGTTTGTGAAACTTTCCGCAGCGAGTCAAGATTTCGCCAGAGAACGTTTATTGAGAATAACGTGATACTCTTAATCATTCGATTGCGAAAGTTGGAGGAGTAGTAGAATTGAATCGTAGCGAGTCTCCGTTTTAACATTCCAGACAGGGCAGCAAACCGTGCCCGTAACGAGACAGACAGATCTTTCAAGATGAAGTTAATGATTTAAAGCGGCAGTTAGCTTAACGAATCGCCACGCATATGTTCATTTACCGCACATTTGAGACGCATTATATCGTTGAATTTCACTCCCCAAAAGGAGTAATTTGTCGTGCATAATTAATGTAAATTTTAACACGGTATGCCTGTGTAATAATGCGCAAGAAATAATTTGATGTCTCGTTCTTGGTGTTTTCAAAGGCGGATCAACTCACAGAGGAACAAATCGCGGAATTCAAGGAGGCGTTCTCGCTGTTCGATAAAGATGGCGACGGCACCATAACGACCAAAGAACTGGGTACAGTCATGCGATCCCTGGGTCAAAATCCAACAGAAGCTGAATTACAAGATATGATTAACGAAGTAGACGCAGACGGTACGTATCTTTCCTCACCTTTGGCCACTTTTGCGACGTTTCATGCAAATTACACGGCTGTTTTCGTTCCTAAAATCTATTTATATTTTATTTCCATCTATATGTATATATATGTGTGTGCTTTTTAGATTAAGATTGATTTTCTAGATAAATTTAAAAATCATATATAGGACGTAACTGCAGAATCTAATATTTCCGCAGAGTTGTCAATAGTTTATTTCCTCTGTCGATGAGCATTCGGTGCGAAAGAACCGGTTAATATTCAATGTGATGGAAATATGCCAAAATTTCAGGTAACGGCACAATCGACTTTCCCGAGTTTTTGACCATGATGGCACGCAAAATGAAGGATACGGATAGCGAGGAGGAGATTAGAGAGGCCTTCAGAGTGTTCGATAAGGATGGGAATGGTTTCATATCCGCCGCAGAACTTAGACATGTCATGACAAATCTTGGCGAGAAACTCACTGATGAGGAAGTCGATGAGATGATACGAGAGGCGGATATCGACGGCGATGGACAAGTAAATTATGAAGGTTGTATCGCATATATATATGTATATTTTTTCTTTTTTAATCTGTGTTAATTAATCTATACTTAAAGAATTTATCACATCGATATTGAGCGTGAGTCGAGCTTTGTCAGTTTGTTGTTCGGATAGAGCAAGTTCGTGCGGTTCGATTGCGTGTGTCTTCTACGAACTCCACACGCTTCTAACGTCATAATGAAAAATAAGTTTGACACAAGTATTTTCGATTTTTTTTTCTCATCTGTTTACTTCAATGAAATTTCATCATGATTTAGTCGCGACGTGTACACGTAACTGTTGTGTTTGTGTACGTGAAAAGCTATAACAATACGTCCTTTCGTTGTATCTTTCAGAATTTGTCACGATGATGACATCAAAGTGAATGCAACCTGTGTAACGGACGAAACTTGCGATTCGGAGTGGTGTTGGCGTATTAAATAAATCAAGAAACAGAGAAAAAATATGTAACAAAAGAGAAATCAACCAGAAAGTGAGAAATCTTATATCAGGATGCGAAGATGTCTATAAAGCGCGAAGAGTCAACGTCCGATACGCGTTAAAAAAAAATTCATCGTTAACGATAAGTACAGGGCAATTAATTGTTTAATTAAAGAGTTATACCATTAAAGTCATTATCTTTCAAAACACGAATATTTACGCGTGTACACAAGGACACGTACACACATACACATACAAACACACACACATAATATACGGAGTATACATATTTTACACACTTTCACATGCTCAGATGTCTTATTTCCATTGGGTAAAACAAATTGGAAGTGAGATACGCGGAGACACAATTGCGCGCGCATGTGCACCAACGACAAAGGAAAAAAAGTGCATTTTCCACTTTCCTCTCTTTCTCGACTGCCCCCTCCACCTTCTTCCCTTCTATTGTCGGGTCCTTCACTACCACCTAACCCTCCCACCTCACATCCCAGCCTCTCATCTTCCTGAAAAAATTTTTTTCTTTACGAAAGGCATGTCGAAGAATGTAATCTCTTGAAAAGGGAGAGGAAATGTGCATTAGGGGACAAAGTAAAATCCGATGTAAGATATTGAAACAGCAAAGTTTTATTTGCCAATCGAGATTCGTTGAGAATATTCCTTCATTTTTGTTTTTTTTTTTTAATTCTTTTTTCACTTAAATGAGATACGTGTATAGTGAATGAACATTAGGATACGTAGCTGCTATAGTAATATCTCTACCGTTAAAAAAAAAAATGCATGCACTTGTACAAATGTTTGTTTGTCTCGTGAAAAGGAGTTCGGCCTCTGGACATGATTTTCCAGAAGGGGAGAGAGGATAAGAACAAGCGAGAGTATAAATATTGATGCTTCGGCCTCTGGGGTTATCGATGACTTAAATGTGCAAAGCCTGAACCTCTCGATGCCACGTAACGAGTAACTTAATTTATACAAATAACGAGCGAGAGAAAATTAGTAAGAAAAAAAATAAAGAGAAGAGGAAAACGGGAAAGATACGAAGCGAAAGAGAGAGAGAGAGAGAGAAATATGATGAAGAACCTCGAGGAACTCGGACCTTAGTGCTTTTTGCGCGTCGCGTCTCGCCTGCGGGACGGGGTGTGGTGATCGGCTTGTGTGAATCATTGGGACGAGTTACGACGTTCGTCGGAGAGAGCTCCGGTTCGAAGTCTCGACATTCCTATTTGAAAAAAAAGTCTCTTCCTACGCTTTTCAATCGATCAGCATCTATCCAGTCTCTCGTGTGTCCGTGCACACAGGACTCACACATACACGTCGAATGAGAAACCACTCTATCCACACGAAGATACACGCAGAGCAAGAGAAAGGAAAAATAATAATGAAAAGAGATAAACACTATCTATAATATTCACGAAGTGCGTTTTGCCTCCAGTTCCATTTTAATCTCCTATTTGTAACTTGCCTTCCACCATACACACACATACACATACACGGGGAAAGCCTTACATACATGCGCGCAGAGAAAAAAAGAGAAAAGGAAAAAAAAGCGAAAAAAGAGAAAAACGACGTCGACACCACTTTTGTTGATATAATAAATCATGGAGAAAAAAATAGGGATGGGGGATTAAAGGAAGTAAAGGCCACAGTGATCGGTGCATTACTTTTCTTCGCCCAGGGGTGCGTGCCAGTCTCGTAAGCGGAGCAACCAGACCGGAGAAACTGGTGTGATTTTTGTGCGATCCGTACGATAATGTTACTTAAGAACTTGAGAGCAAAGAACACAAATGCCGTACAGCGTAACATCATGCGTGTCGGTGATTCAGTCATAATATATATGTAATATATATTATATATACATATATATATATATATATAAAAAATTAATTTACGAAGAAATTAAGAAAAAAAAAGATGAAAGAGATAATTCCTCCACAGTCCTTTATTATTTAATATCGAAGTGAGCAAAATGAAGAAGAAGAAGAAGAAGTACTTGTATTTCTGGTGACCTAGATCGCATTGATGATCATTAAACAGAGAAGAAAAAAAAACAAAAAAAAGATAAAATAAATGTATCCTCATTTTTAGGTCACAGCTAACTCGATTCGTTTCCTTCATTACCAATGGACCTCTCGTTTCAGCAACCATCTTTTTTGTGTTCGATGGCATCTAGATACTTTGCTATGAGAATATTTCATTGTCCTCTGTGAACAGATCCACTTTACATATCTAACTTTTCTCGCTAAAACCTCCCTTTTCCCCCCGAAAAAAATAAACTCGAGGTGATTAGACATAGGTTACAAGAAAGTACGGTATTAATTGTAATTAGGAAACTTGCTCCGTTACACCTGAAAGAAAGAAAGAAAAAAAAATAACTAAGCACACATTGGATCTATTTGTGTACTGTGGTATTCTGTGTCCGAGGTGTTTCCACACTTTATTAAGGAAAGAGAGATCGTCAACACAACACGTTTTTGTAAAAGTGGTTGTTAGTATTCGACAGGCATCTGTATCTAAATGCTTCCAATCGCTTCGTTTCATCGAACACTGATACCTAGTGATTAAGTCTCCTATGTTACAAAGACTCTATTCCAGTATTTAATAATAGTAATTTTATATATCCGTATTGCAAAATCTATTTATTGAGAGAATTTTCGCGCGCCGAGTTAGCGGCGCATGGAAGCTCTTGTTGTGAACGTTAACATCGAGGCAATGCCAAATCTTACTGAATAATATGAAAGAAAGAAAGAAAGAAAAAAAGCGTTAGTTCATCTAATATTTAATTTAGCGTCCCTGATCTTTGTTATTGAAATACACGTTGTTGTTCTTAAAAATTTGTTTATTACCGTATTTGCTTATATTACCGCTGCGCGCAGGTACCAAAACACATCCTGCCTCTTTGAACGTTGTATTTATTTCAATGTGTATATACGAACGTTATTATCGATTGACAGAGATGCGCTTTCGTTTGGTTTTACCAACAAATTGTAACTTCTCGAGACGTGCGAGCTCTTTTGCGATATTATGAGGAGAGAAGAAGTAAACGAAACCTGTGCTTTTCTATCGAATTCGTTTTTCAAGCGCGGACCTCGGCGTACACACACGCTCCTTTTTCCTTCATTATTTTTCAACAGATAGTAGTTATCGATTAATACTCTGATTTTTTCTCGTATTCTATTCGAACATTGTTTCTAGTATATGTAAGTATATTCTCTCTGCCGTATCAAAGGCGTTCTTCACTTCTTGTCGTACATACAATAAAGCGGCACAGTTTGTATAAAGTGTTGATATTAAGTTAATAAATTGTTCCTATATATACTTATATGGGAGCAAAACTGGTGTTTATCTATACAAGCAATTTTATCTCCCCGAACGAACACTGCTGCAATAGCTGCGGGTCTCTGTGTTGGCTTTTGCACGTAGTTGCGGAACACGTGCCTGCCTGGACTCAACGCAGACTGTATCTGCACGCTGATGACTTCACGAACAATCAGCAACTGCGTGTCATTTCATGAGATGCGATTATAATCGGGGTGATATGATCGCATTGCGACGATCAATCGTCACACTGTCCAAATATACAGTCGGTTCTATCGTCGAAAAATAAGGGACACACAATTGGAGTAACTTGTTACTATTTTTTTGCAAAATATCATTATTTCATTTTTACATGATCTGTGTCGTATATACATAGTTTCTCTCTCTCTCTCTCTCTCTCTCTTTAGATTTCGTCATATAACGCGATAACAAAATTCGATGATTATGCGGATATGTTTGCACTAAGCAACCAGTCTGTCTCACGACAGACACTCTTTCGGCATGACTTTGAAATGCAGGCACACCTCCTTCAGCAGGTTTTTCAGTATTCTCACTTGGTTGTCGGAGCTCTGAAATTTTTACGTACTTCTTGGATCGGTCTAACCGTTTTAACGCGGTGAGACACGGAGAGATTATTGTAGCTTTGTGTCATGTAAATTTTGCTCAATTTTACTACGTTTTCTAGTGCTGCAAGAATATAATATCATAGACTTATCGTATTGAAGGACACAGTAATTTTGCTAAATTTTGCTTAATTAAAGACTTAATTTCCTGAAGTATAAACAGCGTGAAACGAAAGGATAACATCGTCCTTGATGAAATTTGATCTTTTTTTGCGTCACGAGGATGAATAGCCATTTTTGCTGTGTTTTTAGATTAGATAGTATTCTTGAATTAATCTTACATTGTATCTTCCTGCTATATTGCATCTTGTCAATTTCATATTGCTTTATGATTTAATATGATTCGATTATATTATATAAGTACAAAAAAGCACTTTTATTTTCCATGTAACGCAGTATTAAGATGGAATAAAATGTCTTTTCCATATGTTACATGGAAAAAAATGGCTATATCTCGAAAACGAAAAATCATATCAAAACGAAACAAAATGCATTTTAAAATTAAAAGTTGCGAAAATATTTTCGCGTGACAACGAAATTTAGAAAAAAAAATTGCCGCTGTTACTACAATATCATGAAAACTCTCAAAATCGTCGTTTTTTCTGAAGCCATTTTTCTCAAAATCGTGACATGATGATCAAATATGGACAACGGATTCGTGTTCAGCTGGCAAAAATACATCGGAAATGACTATTCACACTTGTGACGCCAAATGACGTTGGACAGTGTAATCAATTAAGGATCCATAAAACCATCTTCTTAGAGATCCTTCTAAACTTCAAGTTGTGTATTAATACAAATATCGCCTACATATATGTGCAGTTGGAAAAAGATTGACCGTTTGGTGGCTGAGACAACTCAGGTTGGCGCTTTTTACACGTGTTCCTTGAGATTATTTTTAATTTCTATTTTTAATAGGAAAGTAATTTTGGTCGAAGCAATCTCCTTAATGCCGGCTCTGGAAATACGACGCTGTATGGATCAATTACCTTGAGGCAGAATGTCGGTGTGTCCTTCGATTACGAAATTCTACAGTGATACGATAAAATTTTCTCCGTATAGCAGCGCGTCGCGTTAACCATTCTGGTTGATTTACTACCAAACTCTGATCAAGCTATGCGATGAATAATAATAAAAATTGTCAGCACACATTTCCACTTCTGTATTTTGTCGTTCAACGATGATTGAAAAGTTAATAACTGCTACCTATATTAGCAAGATAGAAGCAGATAATAACAGTCGAGAGACTGCATAGGAAAATTAGTATCAATTCAACACGCATATGTTCTAATCTAAGTAATCTTTGTCTTATATATAAGCAAGAATCTTCTCACAAAAATAAAATTATAATATATATTATATGATAATCCACTAAACATGATTGTGCTCTTTTTCTTTCTTGGTTTGAAAATATTATTCTTTTCTACCGAATACTTTTTCCTTTCAATTTATGAAAATGATTCTTGAATAACGAGAATATAAATGTTTAGTGTGACACTGTACAGAATTTCTTCGTGTAAGAAAGTTTTATCTGTTTAGCGCTACATAATCTCATTTCAATATTTATGTTGAGAATAAGGATTTTCGTAAAACAAAGATATCCTTGTGACAATTTTAAATCGATCGGTTAGCTTCGTCAGAGTTTGGCGAAATTCAGCCTCCTTACCCCGTCGAGAGTGATCGTCGGTATGAAAGACACTCGCGGTACGAGTGAATTCGTCATCTGTCCGTACTTGGCCAGCAGTTCCTTGCCCTTGCCAGTGCCTGAACATCTCCTAATAGACTCCGCTTCCACGGACGTGTTCAGCTTCACGGCGCATGTATTCATTATCTCTACCGGATTAATGTTATTCTCAATCATGCAAGCCAGAAAGTCTAAACTTTTCGACGGGTCTCTAATGGCATCAATGGTGCATGCATGTATGATGTTTGCTTGACATTCGATCTGTCCGTGCTGACACACGAACTCGTATCCGTCATTTGTCTTTATGGTCTGTGTAGAAAACACGAAACGTTTTCATGTAGAGAGAGCTTATTTGACTATAACTCACTTCGCGATTTCGCGACGATCTCGGTCGCGCCACATCAATTGCACATCGCACCGGGTTTGCGGATCTTGTAAAAATAATAAATAAGAAAAAAATAAGAAAGTTAAGAGATAACGCGGTGATACGGCGCTCGTTCACATCGATCGTCTAGTAGGCGCATTAACTTTCCATTAAATTACCCTTCAATCTTAACGACTCATGAAAATCACGATACCCGTTAGAAACGACGTATCTTAAAAGTGATTTTCACCGAATTCAGATTAAACGAATCGATGAATAATGATAAAAATGGCCAGCACCAATTTCCAGTTATTGTTGCATGACAGAAATTATTAACGCAACGAAAAGGTTAATAATTTCTGTGTTAGGAGGCGTTAGTCTAATCGTCGATTAGATTAATCAGAGTTTGGTGAAAGTCATCTTTAAGGATATCGCATGTAATATTTTTAAAAATGAAAATATGTCAACTGGTCTACATTTATGATGATTAATAGAGCGCTTCTAGGTGGAACTTTTAAGACGGCGTGGAAATTCATCATTAGCCGTTTTAACATCCTTAAAACTGTGCAATGTACTGTGCAGGCACACATCTGACGAGATTCGAGATTCTTCGAATAAGAAGATCGACTATCTTTTGTAATTTTTATGTCATATTGATTTCGCCATGTTAAATTTAGCATTTCCGAAGTGTTTAGAATTGCAAAATAATTCTTGAAATAACAGGTCATTTTTCAGCCTGTCACGGCCGCCCGAGTACGGCTGAAAAATGACCCGTTATTTCAGGAATTATTTTACAATTCTACGTGACATGCTGGACAGACATCTCAGATTGCTGCATATTTTACAGGATTACGAAAGTATTACGTTTCTCAGGGGAAAACTGAAAAACAAAGCTGCGAAAAACCTATTGCACGTCACTTCTCTTCCACAATGGCACAAACTCAGTTCAACCGCCCGAGATAGCCGTGTTAAATAATTGGAACAAAATCTTTACTAATCATATAAAGGTTCTGACTTATTTCAACTCCTTCAGACAGATAACACCGTTTTAGAGGGATCAAATACTGCCACCGTATTTAGCAACTCGAAAAACGAATAAGATTACACGTATAATTTACGCTACACTTTTAAGGCAAAAATCGATCCATCTTACTCATCGTCCTTTCTTAATCTTTGAGTACCAGTTGCGGTGCGCGTATCGAACGATCGGTATGAACCAGGCCACAACGACCGACGGCGATGCGAGAACGCGTAGCTTTTCGTGAAACCCCTCACCGCACCTTCGCCTTGCCGTACGGCACCATCTCGACATCCAGATTCGCTGACAGTTTGCGATACGTCGGCATCAGTTGTTTTACGACGAAACTGCGCGAGTCCGGGCACAAAGCCTCGTAATACACGGCCAAGTGTACCTTCTGTTGAGCCGGCTCATCCCTCTGGCCAGACGGCGCCGCCGTTTCCTCCGCTTCCTCGAGTCCTGCAAGAAAAAACGTTGCAGGTATATCCGGGCGATTTCATCATTGCTGAAAGACGTTCTCATGAATTCGTAAAAACCAGCGTTTGGATATTGTAATTAAATATTAAAGCTTTCAAATTTTCTCGAACAGGTAAAATACTTTTATCCCGCGTATCACAATGTTCTTATTTAAAGACTAAAAAACGTCTATCTTCCAGACAGAAGGGAATATTCTATGTATATTGAAACGTTATTTTTACTTAGAGATTAAAGAACGACATACTTTCGGATAGTAGGGGATATTACACTATTGAACAACTGATTAATCTTATTTGAAAACTAAAACGACATTCTTTCGATTAGGAAAACAATATTTTTACTCTATACATTGAAATGTGTTGATTATTCTTATCTAAATATTAAAACGACAAAAGTGTGACAAATGTCATTAGTGCTTTTACCTTAACTTCTTCAGAGCTGTTAACACGCACGTGTATATCTCTAGATACGTCTAATTTTTTTTTACCAGAACATTGTCGACGAAATATAACGAGCATTACTTCGTTTAAACATTCACCGCAAAGTTACACGAGGAAGAGAGAAATCTCATCACGTGATTGGCCAGACGTCGTGCCCGCGTCACTTTAGAATCGAATCTCATTTTCTCTTTCAACTTTAATGAATTCATCCTTGAAGAGAGAGAGATTGATCGTTGCTTCGCGACTTCGCGATTATTATTTGTTGGCCCGCGCTCGTTTCCTCGAGGACCGAAAAAGAAAGAAAGAAGAGAGATCATAATTGCATGCTCGATTAATCTTCGATGCCGGAAACCGCGAATCACATTGCTTATCTCGCCGCTGGGAAATGATAATGGCTGATAATGGCCCGCCCGTTCATTACGTGGATAGTTTAATGGTGGCACGTACATGTTCTTTTTTTAGCGTCGTATTTCTATTATATCGATCTCTCTCCCCCCTTCCCCTACATCTTTCGTGTGTAATAAATTAATCGGACGCGCGCTCTTCTTCCACATCGCCGTGCCGTGCGCGTAAAATAGCAAAATATGATGTTGGCAATCGCGACTTGACAGATATCAACTCGAAAGGGTGCAATCAATCACCGCTCGAATTCCGCCCAGCGATTACCGGCGAAGTCATCGCACAGCAGGAAATAACACAGTGCGTTCCATTCTTTGAGCGACAATTTCCCGGACGGCGATCGAAGCCGAGACCGGAAATTTCGCTTGGCCGGCGGAAGTCCGCGCCGTGAAAACCCCCGCACATACCGTATTTAAATTCATTTTAACGTCAGAAACGACGAAAGTCAGACCGATCAAGTTTTCTTTGTTGCGTTGAACACGTAAAAGGACATGAATTTACATTACCGTCCGTCGCAACACAGTTTAAGTCTCGGTTTTTTATTTTGGAAACTTAAGATGCGAATGTGACAAATGCGTTTCTCTTTCTTCCACTTCCTTCATTCGGATCCAAAAGACGGACGAAGAAGAGGGAACGAAACATTTGTATATCTCGCTGCTGGGCCTTTAGTTATTTTAATATAAAAGGATATCGAATCAAATAATAGCATAAAACATCAGAAAGATACAGTCGTTATCGAACAGATAAGTTATCGAACCAGACTTGGGGAATGGCGTAATTTCAACAGGAAGGCATCAAGATTTCGTTGTGAGAAATCAGAAAATTGATAAAAAAAAATCCCAAGTTAACACATTGTTGACCGGTCACGAGTTAACTCGTGTCTTCCTGCTCAAACGTTGCTGACCGGCCACGAGTAAATTCGTGATCGATGCGCTTTTGTTTCGCATCGATCACGAGTTGGGCCAATACGTTCTCGCAGATCATACAGCTTATAATTGTTGTTCAGCATACCACAAGCTGTGTCTTTCGCTAATAAAACCCGTCGAGTTGTGTCCCCTTTGAAATAAAACAAAATTTTAATAAATTCTAAGTAAAATTGCCGGTCAACAATGTGTCAAAAAAGTACTAGAAAATTTAGTTTAAAATTGATTTTTAAATAAAAATGTTATGATAATTATTTAAAAAACAATTTTTTTAATAATACCTGAAATGCATCCTATTTAAAAATTTTTTTTAAATTCGTAAAAATTTATTTTCAAGTAAAAAAAGTTATGATAATTATTAAAAAACATAATTTTTTATTTCAATAATACCTAAAATGCGTCCTATTTTACAATTTCTGAAAGTTTGATAAACATTGCTTCATCAATAAAAATGTTATGACGATTTTAGTAACGTGCAAGTTTGCCCAAAAACGTGCGGTCCCAGGCATATGCTTACGGATTTCTTAGCGGTCCGCAATGTGTTAACGTGAACTAACAGCATGAGTCTCGATACCGTTGCGATGTTCCGCGTTCGCTGTCAAGCTGCCGACGCTAAAATTTCTCCGGCGGGTTCGCGCGCGACGGAAACCGTGCAGAGCCATGTGTCAACACGAGAAGCACTTGCGCCGTCGGGGCAATCCCTCCGATCAACAGCTTCATCATCGAGCGTAACGTTGCTCCACCTGAGAGCCGGTGGTCGGCTGAAATTCGCCGCAACAAGGTCGCTCGTGCACCGTGTGTATTCGTTCGTTCGTCCGTCCTTCCACGTGCAAGTAAACCTACTAAAAGTGTACCTCGCATGGCGATGGCGGCGTTCCACATCCTCGACGCCTGCCAGAGCAGTATCGCGGTGATAAGAATGATCGCGACGCGCCATCGGAAGCTTCCCAACGCCATCATCGTCGTCGCCGAGCTGTGCCGGCCGCCGCGACAGAGAGGCGCGCGTCAACTCCTTCGCAACCTTCGCTCGCTCCCTCGTTAGCTTAGCTCGTCCGTCCGTCCGTCTACCTGCGAGCGACGACAGCAGCCTCGTTAGGTGGCCGACAAGTTGACGCAACGATGTCAAAGGCTGCGATCACGGCATCGTGACGCGGACGATTGGGCGCGTCGATACATCGGCGTCGGCCGGTCGATCGTCCCGGAGCTACTCGGCATCGTTATCGTTCTAATTGGATTTAATAGCCGTGTCGCCGCGGGTGTCTCTCTCACGGCGCGTCGAATGAGGTTATGTCGCGCGCAAGCCTCGTATCGCATAACCTCACCTCGCGTGTGCGCATTTTTATTTTTCTCCTTGGTATTGGCCTAGGTTTAGCAAGACGCCAACCACGAGATATCCTCTAGACGCGGTCTCTCGATCAACCGCATTGCACAGTTGGCACATTTTGAATTTCATTTTTTAGCAGTTTGAAGAACATTGAAATTTTCCGAAAGTAAGATATATATATGTAAGATATATTTAATACTTAGATTAAAAACCTATTTTGTATGTAATTTTATAGTCAGTCTATTTGTGTGACTGATCAAAATATGTAAGGTAATGATAAAACAGAGCAATACTTTTTACTCTCGTTGGCGCTTGAAGTACACAGGATTAAAATTTTATAAAAAGATCTATTTTTAAATTTATATATATATATATATATATATGTATATATATATATATATCTCTCTCTCTCTTTACAAGGATTTATATTACGTTTATTTTCCTAAACTCTGCAGCTCGTCGACGAACGTCATGCATTTGGTCTTGAGTATTTTAACGGCTTCTTTGAACAACACAGTGGATGGTAGTGCACCCAGAGTTTCCACAGTGACTAGAAATCAAGAAAAAGAAATAGATTTTCAAATTATCTCATCTATTGAATCACACACGTCATTTCCTATGATTATTATATAGGCGATTTTGCGTATCAACAACGGTGACTTCGACTCGATCGTTCGTACTCACAAATGAAATGATCCGGTATCCGAGTTAACTTCACACAGTCCTTAAGCTCAGGGTAGCGAAAGACATTCCTGGAGCAGTAGTCGTATCGAGCGCTCTTCACGCGTGCTTCGCGCTCGCCCGAGGAGGTTTCCTCCTCCATTATTTCTATCACGCCCGGGCTGAAGCATCTTTTCAAAAGATCCGCGTTCTCACCCGTCACAGGTTTGAGCAGCTCGATGTGCGGTAAGAGACGATACGTCGCTATGGCTAGACACATTCATTATCATTCGTTGTTTACGCGAGAGAGCTTCCGAGTCCACGAAGAATATCTTCTACACAGAATTTGTTTCAAATTCATTACTTACACACGGGAGAAAATTTCGCGTGGTCCTTGCTGATGCCCTTAACCGCGTGCATATACGCATGAATCTCGTGGCCGGGACGCATTTTACATATCAATATGTCGTCCTCCAACACGCGCAGCTGCTCCGCTCCGTTCGGGAATATCTCCGCTTGCCGGCCGATGGGCACCCACTTGATGTCTCTACTGTAAACTGTGATAAAAAGGAACGTTACTTATTGCGAGTTCTTCGGTACAATTACATGTCACGTGACTCATCATTATATATCGCTAAACTTACTATCATAATTTATATTGCTGCGATATACACTTATTACTATGTTATATTTACAATTATATCGGAACAATTTATGTTTTGCATGTAACATATATTGGTGTACATAAGTTGGATCCAATACCATTGCTGTTCTTGTAAGTTTCCTCGGGTAAATACGACTCCTGCGACTTCTGCGGATTCTTCGTGCATATGACTTTTAACTCGTATCGCAGAGTATCTTCGTCACTGACTTCATCGTCCTTCCTGGCGTGACTCGACGTGTATTCAAATAACCGAGGATCCGCCCGCAGAGGTATAAGGCCCAACCTAGGGAGCAAGATATATTTTACGTCACTTATATTTTGTCATTATGTATTTATTATATAACCCGTGTTTGCGATAGAAAATCTGTACGAGTAATCATTATGAAAAGTGACTTGTATCTCACCTGTGTGCAAGTACTTCGTCTTGGATCACGCTGGTGTTATTTATAATGTAAATCTTCTCGATTGCCATACTCGGTACTTCGCTCAAAAGTATCCTACGAAACGCATTGACCAGTGTGGCGGAACAACCGATCATATCAAATTCCAACACATTATCCTTGTCTTCGATTACTTTTATCTTCAGTGTCTAAGGATAAAAGAAAGATGTCTTAATTAATTATACACCAACATTATTGCGCAACAGGCTAAGTTACTTTCTGATACACGCGTTACCTTTTTAAATTTCTCCAGTGGCGGCGCATTTTTAGCCGCTTCGTTGCGTACGTAGCCCATAAACTCGAAAGTCTGTCGAAGAAAGTGTGCATTTACTTAAGCATCCATAAGTGTAACTCTAAGGGTATAAATGATAAGATCAGTTATTTTTTCTTGGGATTTCTGCACCATAAACTAACATTCGGTACTCCGTGTTCTCCCAAAACCATCCGCGGAGGAGGCCTCTCTCCCTGCATTCTTGCTTCAACAGTGTCAGCAGTTGATGAAGTTCGTGTTAATAATTTTTTTTCCTTTCCTCTGCAATGATGAACAATTAATGTAATTAATAATATTACTTCTTTGTACTACCTTTATTGACAATGTTCCAAATCGCACGAGGTTAGGAGAGGTTAAATGGCAACAAAACACCGGTTGCACTGTCCGGCTGCGCGTCCTCTTTGGGCATTCACACGCTGCAAACGCTATTCCAGCTTCTTTCGGCATGTACTGAACAATAAAAATAGACGCTTAGAGCGCGTGAACGTCCAAAGAGAATGCAGCCTGTAGATTCTCAACGTTGGCAGTGAATTTTGCAGCACAGCGACCCGTCCTTTTTAGCCGTGTTGCTGAACTTATGCACAAGATTAGTAACACAGTTAAAAAGAACAGACCAACACACTGAGCTGGAGTGATAGCGACCTACAAGAAGCCGTAGAGACGTGATCAGAGAAGGATGGCCTGTAGGACGTAAACTACATAGGTATCCTATCTTTACGTAGCTTGACTCCTATCAGAAAAAATGTTGAGAAGTGAAATATGGCGGGAACTTTCACGTTTTAATGTTTTAGTATTTAATATTGTCATAGTAATATTTAATAGGTTTTTAATATCGTAAACCTTGTTAAACGTCTATTTTATAAGTGTTTACATACTTACATCATTTTCAGTCGGCATAACACAATGTGATTCTATCTTCCACAAATCGCTGCTCCTTTCGAGCTCCTTTTTGCTTTTGCGCGACGAGAACAGCATGCGTGTGCACGGTGGAAAATATATATTCTAATTATCCTTCGATCTTGTCGTCACTCTCACAAAAATACGTAATCTATATACACGTATAAATCTATAGTATAGTTAAATAATCGTTTCAATCCTCTGCTACATTCATGCCAATGAAGTCAAGCGATCGCGACGTCACGAATGTGGGCGTTCGTAAGGACAATTGAAACGTACTTCATTGCGTTCTATCCACGTCACGATGTGATTGATAACGTTTTAAAAGATTAAACCTTATAAAGCATCGACCGGACCGCACCCAATAACATTACACAGCGGTCATCGATAGATTACGGCTCGTAGTTGTAAGTTTCTCTCTATGGTGAAAGTTATCTTAAAGAAGTACGCGTCTTTCGCGTGAATTCCAAGGTCGAGCGGTAACAAAGAAATCGGACGACTCGAAATGAGAATGCACATATTGTAATTTATATAACTTTGTCGCTGCAAAGTGAAGCTTGACTGCCATAAATCGTACATGATAACAAGATAACAAGACGAGAACTATATAAAACGCGGCTGTTACATTCCAGTATTGTTAACGTTTACAAACGGGATTGCGGGACAGCGCATACGTATTGGTTCGTAATCTTTTTATATTAATTATGAGTATAGCGAAGATGTCTTTACATTTCCAGTCATAAAAGTTATTTGATGTTTAGATACAATCATGGCTGAAAAGAAAAATGACGACTTGAGTCTAGTGAGTGACAAGTTTACCGAGGAAGTTCTGACGGATATTCTCTGTAAGACTTCCGGCAAAAAGGTGCAACTTACGGATTGGAAATTTGGTGAAGGATTTACCAAAGGTGACAACTACTTGTCAACTGTTACCAAAGGTACATTATATGGTGTTACGGATGAAGAGGTGAAACAAGAGGTACAAGTTAATTTTGTTGTAAAGTCCATTCCGAAGAATGTCGGCCGCAGGATCACTTTTAGAAGCGCAGATTTCTTCTCCAATGAGATTATCTTCTACACGCAGGCAAGAATATAACAAACTTATTACATATCCAGAGAAACATATATCCGGAAGAATATTCCTTCAATGAAAGTTATTTTACAGATAGTTCCTAAGTTTGAGAAATTCCTGAAGGAGAAAGGACAGAGTGATCTGTTGCGCATACCTCGTCACCTAGCCTCTTATATGGATGGTGTAAATGATTTTATAGTGATGGAAGACCTATCTATCCTAGGATTCGGGCCTGCTTCAAAGCAGAACTGTATAGATTTGGCAGAATGCAGTGTGATCTTGGAGTCATTGTCAAAATTTCATGCTATTTCGTTTGCGTTCAGGGATCAAAGGAAAGAGGAGTTTGCAGAGATGATCAACTGTTTGAAAGAAACTTATTTTGGTAAACATAACTGGGACTGGTACCAAAAATTCCACGTATGTAATGCTGTTGTGTTTTAACATGATTTAATTGTTGGTATAAACTAAATCTCGTTCTCTTTTAGAGAAGGCTGTTAGATATAGCTAAACATGCGCTATCCATTGAGTATCCTGACAGTAAAGCTTTGAAGCAATTTAATTCCTACAAGTTTGGTGCGCTCTATGATATATGTTCGGAATTGGTGTGTCAGAAGAAACACGTTCCCTCATCTGTCATATGTGCGGGTGACTGTTGGGCTCCGAACTTTTTAGTTCGGAACACTGGCCAGAATCAGAAGGAAGCGTTATTACTCGATTTCCAGTTAGCACGTACCGCCAGTGCTATCACGGACTTATCATTCCTCATTTATTCGTGCACTCAAAAATCGTTTCGAGATCAACATTTTGACAATATCTTGAAAACTTATCATTCCTTGTTGAGCGATGCTATTAAAACTCTCGGATCTGACCCGGAAAAGATTTATCCGTGGGACTTGTTCATGAAAGAAGTAAACTTTTTTTTTTCTATTTGGTTATGTGAGAAGTTCACTTTTTTTTTTTTTTAGGAAAAAGAAAATACTAATTTTGATATCGTTTGTAGGTGAAGGAGAATTTTGTCTTTGGTATGGTCTTCTCAATCGAAGCGGTTCCATTCGCTTTATTGGATCCGTCTGAATCGTTTGACTTGGATGTTCTTGTCAAAGGTGACAAGGCGGTGAATATTGTCGATATATGGGTCCTAGATGACATTAAAACATCAAGTGGAAGGCGGAGATTAACGGATATTATAGTTCATGCTGTTGAACATGGATATTTATAACGTCGATATTTACAAGAAAACGTCTTTCTAGAGAATTAGTGTTGATAGCATGAAGTGATCAAACGTACGACTGACGTATTTCAGGAAAAAAAATTGTATTTTTAATAGCAGTTTCCGAGCGATTGTATCATTACTTAGAAATTGATATTGTATAATTCGCAAGAATTAGACAACGAAACGCTTCATTTTGACTATTTATACAAACAGTATGAATTTAGTTCCTGGCTCTCCACGAGAGGTCTCCGTAGTCCACTACTGGCTTTTAAAATGAAGTGCACTCACGTGCTTGGAAAATGACGTTTTTATACATAATCTTTATTAAATGTGCTTGCATTAAATAAAATAGAGACAATCTATATTTGTATAATTTCAATAACAGTAACATAGATTCAATTAAAATATAATTCGTACAAGAGTAGAGATATAGCCATCCATGTATGTATATGTCCGTGTGTGTGTATATATATATAACTTTTTACATCAGCCACGATATGGATGATAAGATTTCACATTATCACATAGTTTTATTAATAGGGTGGAGATACATATATATATATATATGTATATATATGTATGTATTGGTAGAAATATCTTGTATTTATCTTTCTTTTTAGGAAAAGTACATCTATATTGCTGAAAAGCACAATATGTCAATGATAAATGCATCACAGATGCGTATCTGATGTTAATATCTCGCTGCACTAAGCAAATAACTTGATTCGAGTAGAGACGCTGAGAAATTCATCAAGTCTGCTTCGCGACTTGTTAGTTCCTCGTTTAGAGCTACCTTGAGAGAGAATCACGATCAGAGTTAGTCGGATCTCTTATTAAACCACACGATGCCGGGAGTAACTTTACACCGATAACATGTACAGTATGTAATAGCACGAACGGTGCGCTCCACTTTCGAGTACTCCTATGTGTTCTGATGTTGAACGTTATTCGTCAAGACGTTACTCGCATCGAAAACGGTCGTGTCTTCGTCGTCTTCTTCCTCCAACGGCAGTGGTCGCATCTCGACATCCTGCCTGTGCGTAAGGACACCGTACTTTCGAACCATCTGAGCACGTGTCTTACTTAACCTGCGGAGAGACAAGATGCGGAGAGACATTGCGAAATTACAGAAGATCCTCGCCGCCAGGACGGTCTTTACGTTATACACCGCATGGAAACCCACCTAAAGCTACGGAACACGATATAGGCCATAACAAGGATGCTTAGTCCTACAAAGACTAAGAAACCACGCACAAGAGCACCGGTGTTGAAGGTCGTGTGGCCCTCGTTCGGATGCTAAGTCGAAAAGAATACATCATGATTAACAACATTCTCGAAGATATGAATTTAGAAGTTGATACAAAAGGATATCTAATTTCCAGATGGCAATCGTACAACTTCCTCCTAGGAACGGAAACACGAGAGATGAGGAATCTCATTGAAAAAAAAAAGTTCCGCCTCACACGATCGTCAAGACCACCGAGCTCGCTTCTACTCGACTCTCCGTGTTTCCATTCCCGGTGAAAAGTCACCAGGTGGTCGCCGCCAATCAAAACAACCCACGAGACCAACCTCGTCGTCCGCGGCGTGTGCGGTCTTGTTCGCGACGTCCGGCGGCTTCAAGGTTATGTGCGTCTTGTTGCTCGTGTCGACCGGCGGCCTCGTCTTAACGGGCGCCTGTTGACCGTTCTTGCCCGGCGACGGCGCCGGCTGCCCGTCGACCTTGTCCTTACCCTTGCTCTCAACTGTCGCCGTCGCGTCTCTCCTCTCCCGTAAGCTGACGACCTCCTCGCTGACCGCGCTCTGCGCCAGTAGGAGGATCAACAGGAAAAATTTCATCTTCTGGATCTTCGAGCGCGTCATTGCGCCGTCGTGTCATTTAAGCGACGAGAGTCTGTGCGAGACGATGACGATCCTCCGCCTCTCTTTACGACGTGACAGCTCCGCGCACCGACGCGAGCTCCATGTCGCGTCGGAACTTGGGACACAGAGGGACCACCGCACAGCTGTTCCGTCGCGACGCAACAGCCCTCGTTTATTCGCGCTGACCGGCGCGCATGCGTCGCGACGAACTTGAAGGAAGCACGTTAAGCCCGTATCGAAGGTCGACTAGCCCGTCAATTCGGGCTGATTTTCGCCAAACTCGGATCGATCAGTAACGATAAGAATTGCCCGAACCTGCGGATTTTGCGCGGTGGCTGTTGTAAAATACAACAGAGTATGATGACGGATTGACGGAAGAAGAGGCGGATCTGCAAGATACGCCGTCGTCGTCACTCGAGTGTATTTAAACGCCAATCTGCCATCGACACTGTGTTTACCGTGTAATTTCCAGCTCTGAGACTTGTTCGGCAATTCGTCGGGAAGCTGTAATCATTTCCTCAGCAGGTAAAGCCGGACCCGCAACGAGTGTAACAAGCCTTTCGCTTTAACCGCTAGATTGTGACGTAATCTCTGGCAAGAAAAGGCGCTGCCAGACGTCGCAATTCCTACGATTCCAGCGTTATTGCGACCTTCAGCGTTGCAAACACCTTTACTAGAAATTACCTTACATTTTATCGCTTAGACTCAAAGCAATAAAATCTGACCTCGAGGTATAATCAAGATATGAACTTTAACTTCACGCAATCATCTTCTTTACGGGGTGATGTAATTGCGACAGGTTTTAACCGGACACAACGTGAATTTTTCCCACTCTTGGAAAAAAAATGGAATAAAATGCCGAGGGGTTTTTACCGGACCTCCATTTTCGATTCCGGTGCTCCCATAGCGCATGTCATCTACGGGAGCGTTGCTCCAGGGTGACCGACGCGATGACCGACTGTGTATATCACACATGCGTGCGCATAACGCGAAAAGAGAAAGAGAGAGAGAGAGAGCGAGTCGTGTCGTAGAAGTCGCGAGATTGGTCGATCGATCGTTCGTTCATTCATGCCCGTCTCTGCGACGATCACCGCCGAGCGCGGCGATCGCGACGGTACGTTATCGATGACCGACGTGCTGAACATGATACAGGTCTGCAATGACAAACAGCACAACAAGGTCCCATGCCAGAAGAAGAAGTACCGCGTTACCAACAAGACCGCGTCAACAACGATGATAGCGGCTTTCGCGGAGGCGTTGGCGAAGGAGGTGGGGGACAGGCCGCAGAGCCTGGCGACAACGTCGGTGAAGAAGTGCGAGGGGCAGCAATCTTCCTCCTCACTCGAGGCGAACAGCTGTTCGTCCCGCTGTTGTTGTTGCAAGCCCGCCGTCGCGAGTCGCAGCACAGAAATGGCGCAAGAGGATTCTTCCGACGGCCCCTCCTGGGACAATCTGCCTATCGTTATCCTGCAGGAGATCTTTTCGTATTTGCCGCACGAATCGAGGATAAAAGCCTCCCAGGTATACATATTGACGGACGGTGAAAAAGAGAGAGAGAAGTGGAGCGTTATTTATTTCGCGTTTATTGCGAGAAGAGAGAGTGTGTTTGTCCTTATTTTCGTTCCTTCGAACGTCGCGGAACAAGACGATATGTGCGACAAAATCGGTCACGAGACGCGTGAAGACGTTTCTCGCTCGACACACGAGATGCGTGCGAGATAAAAATCCGCTCGGTTAATCGCGCAGAGAATTCGCGGATCTTCGTTGGCCGCGTTCAGCAGCTGTGAGCGCTGCGTCTCCGACGGTTGGAAGGTTCCGCCGAACACTTTCCGACAGTTACGAGCGACTGCACTTTCCAACATGTTGTGCTTATTAAAGCGTACTTTCGGTATGCTGGAAAAGATGGCGACCGTATGGTAAACACGTTGGAAAAGCGCAAACCGCCTTCTCGGCGGAAAATCCCGCCAAAATCCTTGCAAAGCCGCGTTTTGCAGCGAGAAAATGAGCTTTTGCACTTTTCACGTGTATAATGTTACACGCGATATGAGTACGCGGATAATTTTTTTTCCACACATATACAGTGAGATCATCATTTATATCGATATAATATATGTCAACCTGTTGATATTCGTGTCAACATGAGATTCGTTCATTGAGCTCTTGTTGAACTTTCACAGGCGTGCAAAAATTGGAGGTACACCTTGTTCCACCCGAGCTTCTGGAAAAAAATCGCTTTTGTGTTCAAAGATGAGGACAGTCTTTCGTGGGTCAGGTACGTGGGATCGTCTGGTCCTTGCGTGCTGCAAAGAGTCACATGTGGCAAATCTGTTGCAGATTCATGGTGGATCGTTATGCTCTGAGTGTGCAGGAAGCAACGATACGTTGGAATATACTCAACAGTAAATACATTGACTACAGGAGCGAGACTTACAATCTTCTGAAGAAGCTAGGCTGCAACAGGCAACTGAGAAAATTGTTTTTGGAATTCAACAATTGCATTTACGACTATTTTGACTATGAGAGTAACAGGTAACGCTGGTATCATCGGTTGATTTTGCTCCGAGAAACTTGATCTAGCCTTCTACAAGGTTGTTGTTTATCTGTCACCAGCTATTATTCCCAGTCTCTGAGGGAATGGGTGGTGAGAATTATCGAGACTTCCAATTGCCTGGAAGTTCTGAGTCTGGGATGCTCGGAGGAGCTAGCAGCGGATATGATTGCCATTCTAGAGCCCCTCCGTCTTCACCACGCCAAGCATTTAACGCAGCTCAACATGGCGACCGTCAAAGACGACCCTGATCATTACAAGATTAAGGAATTCGATAATTCTATCTTTGATTCGTTTACTAGATTATCCATTTTAACCTTGGATCATGAATTTGTTAGCGATACCACGTTGAAGGCGCTAGAAAACGGTTGCTTGAAGAGACTAGTGATTCACATACACTGCTGGCGAAATGAACCGTGGACGACGAACAGGGCCTGGCAGAAGTTCGTTCAAAAGAAGTGAGTTTTATTGCACCGATGACACTATAATGGAGACACGCGCTGCCTCGATAAAGGGATGTACATGAAGCACTCGTTCGTTGCAGCCCGCAGTGCGAATTGAGACTCAACCTCATACATTCTTATTTCGGCGTTAAAAGTCTGGACACTGAGATACTACGTGCGGCGATGCCGTTGACACATCTGAAAGTTCTGTTCTGCGAGAGCGTTAATGTCAGAGCGATGCTTAGAATATCATTGTGGTACTCGCACACGCTGAAGTCGTTGACGTGGATAGACTCGGTGAATCGTAAAAATGATCTCCAAGACTGCCTGCCGTACACGCTCGATCCGAACGATCCAATGAGGTAAGGGAATGTGCCTTACCATCGCGGCCTCCTCGATGAGTGTCCACAATTCAGCCGTGTGTGTGCTCCCATTGCAGCCCGGATCCGATGGTGTTGATAGCATGGAAGTGCACCAAACTCTCGAAAATAATGTTCTTAGGTCGCAAATACTACGACGAGAACCTGTTGGCCATCGTGCGTCTCCGAGAGAGCAATCTCAAGATGTTGGTCATCGCGAAGAATGATATCACATTCGAATCGTATGAGAAGCACGAGAGCACCATGCAGGTGAGTAGTATTGTCATTTCGAAAAAAATTGCACTTTTCAGGAAAATGCTATTTCATATATGACAACCGTAAACTCAAGCTGAAGAACCAATCAGGATGTCGCTTGTGTATTCTGGAAGCGACAGTGCAAATAGGATCGAGTAACTAGAATTTCTCGACCAGTTCAATTCTTAGTTACTTTTTCTTACGATCAGATTTAAGTACATGTTTCTGCATAACGCTTAAGGAAATGAACCAATCAGAATCCATAGTTTCTATTCGCAGGATGGAAATGAAGGAATTTTTCCCTAGGATACAAATATGAATATTTCCAAATGTTTTCAAATTAGAAAATTTCTACTTTTCGCGAGTTCACGTTAGAAGATCCCTCTCAAGGGATTACGAATCTTTTTCTCTAGTACGAACTTACGAAGAGTGGAAATTTTCTAATTGAAAATGTTCACTTTTCATATTTACGTCCTTTAGTCCCAGGAAAATGATCGCGGCCCACTTCTCTATCTTCTTCTAAAGCGCATTTTAAATCTTAAAACAATATTCTAGTTTATTCTTCAGTCTAAATTTAAGTCTTATGTCTACAGTTACGGCAATTTGTGTGAAAGCCTTTTTTTGTCAACACACGCACACATGTATGAATGTCAAATGTGTCGATGTGATCATTATATTAGCTTGATTTGCAAAAGCTGGGTACTATGCAAACAAACAAAGAGCAAATAGCGGACGCAAACTTTCGTTGGTACAATTTGGTAAATGTGTACACCAACATGAAACGTTTTAGATGTTGTATCAAAGAGAGTTTGTGCGCGAAGTTTAAATACGACATACACATTCATACCATACATTCACCTGTTCGCTCAGTGTGTACTCACCTTTAGAGTGTCAAAAGAATGGTAACAAGGCCATCTATACACCTTAAAATGTTTCAATATCAGGAAATTCAAAAGATCATGGGTTCGCTCTGGACACCATTGAACGACTCGGATCTGCCGCCGGTGATATTGGACCCTTTCAAAGGCGACAGCAGAGATGTGATCATGCCGCTGGTCCTGAAAGATCAGAAGTAATATCGCAAAGGAAAATCTCCACCCAGTATGAATTCACCCGGCAACCACAAGGACTTCTGGATCACTGGCATCTTAAAAAAAAGTAAAGTCTCATTAGGTTACATTTTATTCTTTTGTAAGATTTTTGTTTTTTTTTTGTCTTCTTTTTGATGAGACGTTAGTCAGCCGAAGTTAGAGGGCTCTCTCGAGCGGCGAATACGTGCTGCGAAACCCGAGATTTCGCTTTGTCAGAGGTATCGGCGTCTCCCGAGTGAGAATTGTATTGGGGTATACAATGTATACAGAGAGTGGTAAACGCACATGTAGCTTCTCCTTGTTTACGATATGTCTTGAGGTTTCGTATATACGAATGTGATAAAACTATCGTAGTTAACTGAATCTACTTTCGATTTGCCGAATACGATCCGAGGCAAATTACGGCGAATTTACAACAAAACTGAAGCGATGCACGGAGAATAAGAGGGAGGAGGGAAGGGGGGAGGGGGTGATTTACATATATATATATATATTATAATTTTTTTTCCTTTACATGGGAAGCACGAATCGCACTTCGACATTGACGAGGTATAACGCGCGCTATGAAACAATCACGTGAAACACGCAACGTTAACGCACTGTGAAAAAGCAATATGCGCCGAACGATCGTCCCTCTCGCCTAAAATCGATGTATCACCGGAGAAAGAAGCCAGGATACATTTTTTTATAATCACGATAATATTTCCGGTTAATGAGGTGCAGTACGTCGGAAAAACGATATTGCAGTCTCCTGAAAGAGAGGGAGAAAAAGAGAAAATGAGAATCCTCCGTCTTGATTCTTGCCACCAGACTTACGCATAGCGTGCAGTTAGAACCGGGGAGCAAAAAAAAGCGAGCAACCTGGTTTTTTTTTTCGTTCAGAGAAACAAGAAGAAAACAAACTGCGACACGCGAGAGAAGGGGAGAGGCTCGATCTCATGATCTTCCATTGGAATGAATAACGTATAATTCCACGCGTGATGTGCAAAAGCGACAACAGATGCGTTATAACAACATATTTTTCCAACTCTCTGCGAACGAACAGGAGAGAAAGAGAAAGAGAGTAAAATGTAAAAGCGTGCGCCAAGAGCATGACGTGCGAGAGTAAATGTCTTTTAATGCGGAAAAAAATGGAGTTCGTCAGAATAAGCGGCGTAAGCGTAACAATGAGAGTATCGCGCTCAAAATGACGGAGAAAACGTTGCGAAGTCGAGATATAGCGATCCGAGGTTATTTTTAATACCAAGACCAATCGGACGCTTTTGTATAAATATTAACGTAAAGAGCGCAGTTGAAAATGCGTGATGCGCGGATAGAAGAACGAGAGAGAGAGAGAGAGAGAGAGAGAGAGAAACCGAAAAAGTCGCGCTCTAAAGAAACATCTGTCTGTGTATAGCATTTCGACAGATGCGTCGATAACGAGAATAATAGTCGTGTGCGAGTAACCAATATATATATACATATATATATTACTGTCTATATCACCGTGCTCTTAGCGACCGCTTATGACGAACGCATAAATATAGTTGGTATCTGTAAAATCGGAGATATATAAATATATTAACCGCTAATCGCGTATATATGTATATGTATATGTATGTACAATTGTATTATTTGTCGAACTTTGAAACTTTAACATCATCCGGATGCAGCGCGCAATCTATTTCTTTCGTGTAATCTATTTAATGTGATAAGAATTTTGAGCAAATGAGAGTGAGAGAGAGAGTGTGTGTGTGTGAATAAGAGAGAGAAAGAGAGAAACAGAGCGATCCGTAAGAACAAAGATGAAATACCAAAACGCAGCGTATACTGTATAACACACAGACATACACACACACACACACATACATACACACACAGTTTACTATATTCCGAGAGATTATTTACCTGTTTTTTCGGGCCCTTGTATAATTATATTGCATTATCGTGTATCTCGTAACTTGTAGTCACGTATATTACGTTTTTTTTTATATGTGATTTCCGTGTATGTGTACATAACATCTCTCGCTTGTTTTTTGGAACACGATGAATGCGTGCGCGAATAATGTGTGCAGTCGCATATATATATACGGATAAAAAAAGGAAAAAGAAAAAATCAGTGGGGGAATGTTCGATTGCGAGTTAGATGACAAGGAGAGAAGAAGAAATATGCGCGGAGGAAAGAACTTTCTGTTTTGACGAACGACCATACTGTTATACAAGATGAACGGGCCTTTTAACATGTACCTGAGTCGCGGTAAGGGTAAATTCATCGATAAATCTGATACGCGACGTATACCATAGAGAGAGAGAACGTTTGAACATCCTATAACGATCGCGTCCCAACAAACGTGCGCGAAGAGAGATTATATCAGAGGTGAAACTAATTGGGAACGCGGTAACGAGATGCACATGCGCTTTCACATATATATGTATATCTATATATATTTACATATGTATGTGTATTTATGTGTTTATATACGTAAATATATAAATATACTTGGATATATTTATATATATGTATGTATATAAATTATACACGCACACACATACATACTTAATGAATATTATTCGCGAGTTGCGCAAAAACAAATTCGACGATATATACATATATATATATCATCTCCGCGAGAAGAGAGCGATAATGCGCGCACGTTTGACCGGAGGACGATGCCGATAACACTCGTGCAAGTGCCCTTTCATTTCGTATTCCGTACGAATATAAATCTTTTGCGCGAAGAAAAATGGGGAAAAGTTTAACGCGAGGCATTAGAGAGACGGACCGACACAACGAGGTTTCTTTGAAGTCTCTCGCGACTATTTACCGTGTAAATCGTGGTAACGTGAAATCAGGGGGGAGGGTGACACTCGTTCGCTGGCTCACCGTCGGTATCATGTGTACAGGACAAAGCTTCTTCGGAGCGAAGAGTAATTTTTTACGTTTTTCCTCATTTCTTTTTTCAATCAATTCCGCGTAAGGGGATGATGAAGGAGAAAGAAAAAAATCTATATTCGCGGGGACGCGATGTCCGGCTTATGAATGTGATAAGCGAGTGATTGAGAATGAAAGAGAGAGAGAGAGAGAAAGAGAGAGAGAGCGGTAAGATAAATATGCGTTTGGATGTACGATATAATGGAATACCGCGAATCGTAGAAGACAAATTGAGTGATATGATAGTACCATCTCTCTGCGTCAAATCCTCTGTAATAAGTAATATCGTTAGTGAAGAAAGAAGCAAACAAACATCGGCAGTCGTGCAGCCGTTCACACAACGCGGGCACAACGCGACCACAAAGTATAAAAAAAATAAAGAAAAAATATCCCACGCGTCGACAAACGTGTGACAAACGACAAAACCACAAGCATAAGACTGAACCTGCCGAAGGAGGTAACATGTACAACATCGTTGAGCGGGCTGCACGTTGCCGCGCGTCGTTGGTCGACCTCGCATTCATAAAAAGAAGGACGAACGGGGAGGAGAGATTAATCGCGAGAGCGTTTTCCTCGCTCGAATTATCGTATATTCCATTTCGAAATGCTCGAGAAACTTTCCCTTCCAACCGTCGCTGTCTGTCTCTCTCCGTCCGTTCGTCGCTTCCACGACGAAGTGGATCGCACTTCGCGACCTCGGTGCGATCTCGGCGAACAGCGGATCGATGTTTATGAATGTGTGCGTCGTGAAACAACAAACGAGAAACAAAGTAAAAAAAAAAACATAAAAGGGATGGTGCCCCAAGCTAGCGTTTAGATCGGAAGTATAAGCCCTGGAGGAGCTCACTCGACGACGAAAATGACGACGACGACGGTTCTCGTAGCCGATATCATAAAACTTGTAAAACCCTTAAGCAGCCTGCCAAGAATCAAAATATCTGTAAAATATCAAGCGGACGCTAGGCAGTACAGAATGCTATAAGATCTATTTTTTAAGAAGCGAATGTATATTTTTCTACTAAGGCAGGCCTTAGTGTGCGATCATATTTTCTTGCGCGCAATTACGAGACGAGAGCTGTGATTATATCGTGTCGGCGGCTGTAGGAAAGAAAGAGAGAGAGGATACGAGTGAGAATGAGATCAACACGAGAGAAAGAGAGTATGTTAACCGCGCGTAGTAACGCACATAAAACACAGGGAACACGAAACAATAGTCCCTGGATCGAGTGTACCGAGTGAGCTGCAGGCATTATAGGACAACAGGGCGTTATAAAACCGAGAATAAAACATCTGTGATAAAATAGAAAATCTTACAAGCGTGCTCGAGGGTGGATGAGAAGGAGGAGAATCGGCGAATAAATCGGCAGGAGAGATAGGGAGACACTTGAGAAGAAGAAGGAATTCACACGCAATGTGCATCAACGAAGACAACTGGCAACAATCCACTCGCGCGAGACCAACGATATTCCACGTGACTCGAAAGGATCAATCCTGGAGCCCTGATGGTACAAGTGGAGCGACCGGAGCCGCACGAGGCGCGATCGATGTCCGTCGCTTTTCTCGCGAATCGACTTCAAATTGTCAGCGAAATCGGGTCCGATCCACTTTTATTTCCAGAGCGCTTCGACTAGTGATAGATTTAGATCTAGATCTATAGAGAGAGAGAGAGAGAGAGTGAGAGAGGAAGAAAGAAAGCAGAAGGGTAGGAAAAAGAGAGACTCTCTTTCGACGAGATAGCCCGGTCTAACTTTTATCGGATGACTACGACGACGACGACGACGACGATGACAACAACCCGACCAGCTTATCTCGATCGCGGGCTCGTAACGCACGTTAGTTTCTTTTCGTTCAACAGCTGGAGCTATCGGACGAACGCGTGCGAACTCGGTTCGTGTAATTGATCTCTCGTTGTCCGAGGGGAAGAAAACTCTCCGCTGTTGTCGGGAACAAAAGGATTCCCGCGGGAGATTTCTGTTCAGCCGAGTTTCCACGAAGCGGCGAGTATCTTCGGTCGCGATAACGGAGATACCGCTTCCTGTTCTGTTCACTCACTGCGAAGAGAGAACGTTCCCCGAGGAAGGTTTTCCTTTCGAATACGACGTATCCGCTCTGCATAACATTCCACGGTGAGAAGCGAGGACCAGAGACGCGTCCTACGTTGACGAAGATGAACGGCCTCTCGTGAGCTGCTTCTGGTCCTCTCTGTTCACTCTCACGCGGCAGCGGTTAATTAGCATCCCCCCGAGACCCGTCGTTGATGGTTAAAAGCGCTCTTATTTTAGTAAATTGTAGTGAGAAGAGAGTTATTGTCGATTGAAACACCGACATCGCACAAGATTATCAGAATACAGCCGGTGTGCTGCGTGTGTTGCATGTGTGTATACGTGTGTGCAGCGCGTGTGTGTTGTGTGATCGCTTCATTTTTGACACGGAGACGCATTCTGCCAGTTCCACACGACAAGGTTGGCGCGTCACATTGTAGAAAAAAACAAACAAATCCTCGAGGAGAGAAATCAGGAACACTTTTGACGCGTGAAAGAACGAGACGACCGGTATGCACCCGCGCGCACAAAGTGAGAGAAAGAGAGAGAAAGCTGTGTGTAACGTGGACAATGCCAATGGTGGTTCGCGAGAAGAGGGACCGCACGGAACGGTTCCCACGACTGAGAGCGTTCGTGCGAGTATTCAGCCGCAACGAAGCTCGCTCGAAGCAGTTGGCTGTAAAACCTCCAAACACGTAGGGATCTTCCTGTTCCTACGACCGAGTTTCGTTCGTTCCGCTGCGGTGAACACATCGCGGTCTGTAAAAATAATTTAAAAAAATGCGATTACGCGTGAGCGGCGTTGTCGGCGCGATATCTACGATATTATACTGCCTACGACCAGCGAAGCGTGTGTGCGCGTCGAAGGAAGCGCAGACGATGCGCTTTTCGCGAAAGAAAACTTCCCGCGTTGCAAGCACGGAGGCGTTCCTTCGGCGCGAAACCACGCGACTCGTCGTGTTCGAAAATCAATTCGTCAACGCTTCCGCAATGTACCTCGGAGTCCCGTCGCACGGGAAACCACCGCTGTCGTGGATCGTCGGAACCGGCTTTCGATCGGAGCAGGTCTTTTCTGGATTCAACAGCGACATTAAAGCGAAACTGATATTTGAGTTATCAAAACAATGCGTTCAGCAGAAGAAGCAGCTTAGGCTATGATATTCGTTGCTATATGGAAAAAAATTAAATCACACTGAGAAAAATATCCGATCCTATCTGATCGAATAATCCGATTAAAAAGTAACAAATGCATATGTCCGATCATTTTGTCATTTCATCCGATTGAATCGTGCCTTTGTCCGATGAAAACTACAACGGACGCATAAAGGGCGACTTAATTTTCCGACTTAGATTTCATCGGTAATTGCATCGATAACTTCATCGGATATTTCATCGGATGAAGGTATTCATTATTGATCGGACGATAAAAATAACAATCGGATACGTTATTTAATCGGTTCGTCCGATAGAAATTTTTCCCAGTGCGACAGATATTCTCATAGCAAGAATATCATAATCTTAGAAGATTTTTAGTCTTGGATTGAGTTCGAGTAATACTTGCATCAATATTAATAAATTCAATCAAATCGAGACTAAAAAAGTCTTCTAAGAAGATTACGATGTTCTTGCTTATATATGAAAACATCTATTCTTGATTTAAGACTAATTTTTTTCCGTCTACTGAAAATCTACAATATACATAATATGAACATTCTCTTAGATTCATGGAAAATCCAAAAGAGAGAAAATGCTCCAATCACACACGCTTAGTCTTTTCTGCTGAACGCAGGCACAAAAAACACCAATGGCAGAATCGACGAAATTTTGCTCGAGACGCTTTTCAAGCGCAACGTTCGAACCATTGAACAAGTTGTGCTATCACCGTGACGAGTTATCAATCGATTTGGTCGGCGCGATTATATCAGTTCAGTAGTGAACGTGATATTTTTTTTGTGAACGACAGTAACGATCCTTTCGGTGTCGAACGAAGAAGGATTTGCTCCGATTCTATCGGCACGACAGCGTCTTCTTGCCGTGTGCGGGGGAATCCGCTGTCCATCGCTGTCTAACGAGAGAACGCCATTTGACGCGCGTTATAGTTGCAACCACTTCCGCCGAGTTCCGTCTGTTCCGGACGAGCGGGAATCAATCTGGAGCGAGCCTGGTAGTAGCTAACAGGCCGCGATATTCGCAGGAAAGAGAGAGAAAGAGAGTGAATGAGTGAGTTAATTAATTACTTCAACACAAGCGTCCCCGAAACCTCCGACATTGACGGTAGGGTGTGACCGAACGAAAACGAGACTCCGTTTTAGCAGGCACGCGAAGAGAAATTGCAATCGTCGCTTCCCCCGAGCTGGGGAGGTTGCTTCGTCGTGGTCGGACCTACTTATTAGCGATGGGCTGTATTAACTTCTCGTCTCGACTGCGTAGCATTTAGATTTCTTTAAGTATTAGTTTTCTCTCGCGACCGGGCGCTGAGATTACATATAATGTTATATATCTTACATATATACACACACATGTATATCTTACGGTGAAGAATCATGCGGACGCGTCTCGAAGCGAGCGACGACGTTAAAGCTGGGCGTACGCTGAGCGAACGAATAGACTAATGTAAGTAAACACGTAACAAACCGTCGTTGTTAAAATTCGGAAGACGTAGCGAATCGTCCTAGCAGAGAATGTCTTCAAATCCCGAAAAAGTAACACGCCGAAATTTTAAAATCATGACGATCTCGCGCGAAGAATCCGAGACGATTCTCCGTGATATTGTGCGGAAAGAAAAGGGAATAATTAATCCTCAGCAAAGTTTTTACTTAACGTTTGGGTTAAATTTTATTCGGATCGAGTGAATATTTTACTTGAATCAAGTATCACTTGAGATTCAGGTGGAAATTTGTTGAGGAATATTGCAGTAATTATTCACTTGAATCTACGCACACCTTTTTCTGTGTGTGGAATTGTCTCGTATGCATCTACTCGTTTGAGCACAATGTATAAGAGCGTAGCCGTACGGACGGATACACTTGCGTGTATTGTTCTCGGGATTTTTCGGAACGACCTCTCCTCAATTTGTTCACAGGATGGTTTATCAAGCCTGCGTTTCGACTGTATGTATGTATACATTTGCTGCGTTCGTTCGCGTACACCCGAGTGACGTGAAGGCGACCGTAATACTGCCGCGTCTCATTGATTCACGCGTGAGCCACGTTAAATTAAACGTATATAGAGAGCCGATGAAACGAATCGCGTCTTCAGCTTCGCGAGTTGAGATAACCGGCAGTGATCGGCGCGTGGTGTATCTTCGATGTATCCGGAGAAGGGGGGACTTCGGCGACGATTCCGCGAGAATCGAGCGCTTGGAACGCGGAAGAGGAGAGGCTCGGCTTTGCCGTTTTCATTTTCACCGCGATTTGCTTCCCCGTCGTTCGGGGGAGAGACACTTCTGATCAACGCGGCCGATTTGTTCCGTTACACACCAGCTGAGATTTCTCTTCTGTGCGTCCAACGAAGGACCTTCTTTTCTCCGAGTGTCCCTCGAGAGAATTTGATTGAGTTCATTATTATTAGCGTTAGAGTCGTGGAGAGAACGGAACACAGTCGTCTCACCGCGACGATTCTCTCGTTTGGGCGCGCAATCCCGTCGGTGTACAAATGACGAAGAAGACGGGAGAAGCGAAACGTGCAAAGGAATAGTTTAGTCTCGTCTCTCGTTCGTGACGTTGGACCATCGTCCGGATAATGAGAAATCTGTCAAATCCTGACCGCTGTATCCTTTCCCTCCGCCAGTGTAATGTCGCGTCGCACTTATCGGATAATCGTCTTAACTTTGTAGCGATGTCGAGATTAAAACGAATCGTGTATCGAAATGTATATGTGTGTACGTTACGTGTTGTTACGTCTATGCGTATTATTATTATTACGTGTACATGAGAGAGAGGCTTTTTGCGGGTGTGCGTCGTATGAATGAATTATAAGTGTCGAATCCGATCATCGACGATCGCGAGCGCTCCTTATTGCGTAGTCCTGCAGCCCCCGAAGCGGTGCGATCGCAGTTGAACACGCGTGTTTGATGCGTGAGCTGAATTCAGGGTGTATTGCTCGAAACGGTGGAATCGCGCGTTTCCGCCCCGAAAGTGTTTCAACATTCTCACGCTCCGAACGTCCCTCTTTCAATATAGGGAAGCGACCGCGCGATCCTCGGCGCTTTTATGCGCTTTAAACCTGACCCGTCTCGGCTCTTCCATTCGCCGGCGTTTCGTTCAGTCGGACGGCGGATCGTTTGAGCGATTTCCCGACCGTTTTCAGCAGTATATCGCGCTACATCGGGAGCGATATATGCCTCTTGCACTTATCTTGCTATTTTTTCAGTCTCCAGAGTGTATACGTGTAAGATTGACAGTCTCACAAGTAATTCTAATCGCAGTGCGAAGGCATGTATGTCACCCGGTGTGTGTGATCCTTATCGATCGTCAATTTAACGTTCGTCGAGATGGTCTCGTCACGGATGCGTGTTTTAATTTTCTATGTGTCGTTAAGAAATTAACAAATAGGGAAAGAAAAATACGTCTATTCCTCCGAACGGGATTCGACGCTTGACACTTTGACGACAGGTAATGAAATCCGTAATGAAATTCTTACTTAAACGCGCCTCTCGCCCGTTTAAGTACCCACCAATTGCCTGTAATAATAATGATAATAATAATAATAACAATGTTAATAATAATGTCTTTAAACAAGTCCGCAGGTTCGCAAACAAAACTTTTCGTTGCCGATTTTTTACTGATTCTTTATTATCCGAACGTTACTTATTTATTTGCTAAATTTCCTTTTTCGTAGAATATATTTCAAGCGTCATGCGAACAAGGGAGTGTCAGGTTGGTCGAAAAATTTGTTTCTTTTCCTCGTGTGTGTCTTTCATATGAAAAAAAAAAGGGAACGGAGAGGAAGAGAGAGAGAGAGAAAGAGAGAAATATGAAGCGATTTTTTCGACAAATCTGACGTTTGGACGAATTGTATCGTCATCACTGCTCTAAGTCATCATATGTGAATGAACGAGTAACATAGATCGTAAGAAAGAGGAGAGAAAGAGAGAGCGGTATCGGCTTCCGTTCGACTCGTTCCTAGACTACCCGGAACAGGAAGTCGAGATATCCGCGCGCGATATGATAGGATGTCGTCGTGACATCGCTCCGTTCCGATTTTTGAGACGATTTTCATTCGAGAATCCCAAGAACTTTTCTCTCGTAATCACAGCAAAAGCGGCTCTCAAAAATCGCTTCGTTGCGACGAACACCTGCGCGATGTGCGTTGTGTGTGTGTATGTATGTATATGTACACACGTGTGTGTGTGTGTGTGCGTGTGCGTGTTATATATTTCTTCCTTTGAATGTACTTCTCTCTGAATTGTTTGCGAACGCGCGTCTCTCTTGCGGCTTCGTATATATACAAATTTCTCGTATTCTATTCTATTTATGATATTGTATTTTCGGCACACTATTGACCTGTGACACAAGTTTTACGCAGCACTGCCGATCGCGGTGCGAACGCCTCAAGTTTTCGGCCGAGAACGTGCGCGCGCGCGCGCTCGATGAGTTACAAAAAGTACGAACAACTATACGATTCTCCGGTTAATCTCCAGAAACGGCACGAGAGAGAGAGAAAGAGGATAATTTCTTTTGTGTACGCATATGTATAATTCTTCTACGGGACGCAAGTATCCTCGTGTTACGAACCTGCGCGAAAAGGCCGAGGCTCGCCGTTATGAAGACCCGCGGAACTTGTGTTACGCATCGTACAAGTCTTGTTATTATATAATAACTCTGATGTTACAATTATGCTTACCGTTTTATCGTGGATATATGTAGTACCGAGGCATCTACTTTTGTCTGCCGGAAGAAGAAAAAACCGTTCAAGTGTCACATATGAAACAGTATTCTTTCGATTTCGAAGTCCCATAGAATCGTATTACCGAGCTCCTATATCGTTATTTTTATGTCTCTCACTCCTGTGTAATAATAATAATAATAATAATGATAGAAATCAGAAATATTTTTTGGAACTGTGAATCAATTCTTGAAAAATGTACGAATCGATAAATAAATAATGCATGGCATAAAGTAACCAGTTTACGTCGGCTGCGGTAGTTATTATTTTTTATATTCATGTTTTGTAGAACCTCTTCGGAAAATCCATTCTCCTTGTTGATTGGCTAATTTCGACGATTTTATCCGGATATTTTTGCACGTTTGAGAGTTCACGTTCAACGGTGATTGATGACATCGATATCTTAGCCGACAGGTATACCGATGCAAGACGCGAAATGGAATCCGTCTTTTTCTCTGTTCCGCGTTTTTCCTTTACGCCAATCTGTCCCGTTTTAAATCGTGCAGGCAAATAATTGTGGTTCGTCTCTCGTGGCAGGCAGCGCCGCCTGGAGGGATGATCGTGAACTTCCCACCGCTCTGTCTTACCTCGCTCAAGTCGTCCTGTCGGTAAAGTCCCCCAGCATCCCTTGAAGGCAGTTTACACGTCCGCATGTAGCGCTGATCACAGTCATTTACGTGCAAACGTCCGCAAGCCTACCACAATGTTCTCTTTTATGTGTGCCGCATTTACAAAGTTCACAGAGCGCTTCCGGCAAAGCCTTGCAGCCAGCGTCGCTTTTTCCGATCTCGGAAGCCGCGTCTTCGGCCCTCTCTCGCTGCACTTTCTACACTCGCTCGCAATTTCCCTCCTTTTCCCTCTTTCTCACCCATAGGACCCGAAATACCTGTTTTTTTATCAAGTACAAAAAAGCGTAACATTCTCTCTCTTCCTCCCTCATCCCTTTCGCATTCATCAATAAAGCCGGTGTCAGACCGAGTGCCGAAAATTGAGGATCGCCGATCGAAGAGCGGAAAGAAGACCGCTCGTCGTGAATCCGACCAATCGGGAGGACGCGAAGACAGAGGCTAATTGATTCGCCCAATCGCAGTCCCCACTTCTCAATCGTCCATCACCAAATTACGCAGTCTGATAGAGGCTTAACACGGCGGTGCGTGTGGAGACGACGATCCTGGCGGAATCGAGCTGCGGCGAAGGAGAAGGAGGAGGCGGCGAGGGGGCGACGTTAACGGGCGGGCAAGGCCGCCATGTTGAATCGGTCTGGTTAATTTTTGCGGAGAGCCGAAGTTTTCCTCAACGCGCGCGCGGAAGGTAGCGGCATAGCTGCGCTCAAGGTTGCGCGTCGCCCGGGCATCGCGCGCGCGAATCGTTCGGGACAGACAGGCAGGAGGGCGCCCCCTTCTTTCCCCTGTTGCCACGACTCCGCCGGTATACGATTGGTGGTCGCGCGCGCGCGTCCCCGACTCTGTTCTTTCTCCGCGGTTCTTCCGGCTCTCTGTGTGTGTCTCGTCCGCCGTGTCGTCGGCCATGCACGTTCGCTCCCTGCGCTCTCGACTCGGTGTCTTCGTTGATCGCGCAACGGACCGCTCGGAGACGCTCGCCCGTCCCTTGTGACGTGCGATTTTGTTCCGGACGATCGCGGATTACACGGAGGAGGAGAGTCTCTTTACAGTGAGTGCGTCTAAAACGATAGACGAGACGAGGGACAGAGAGGGCGAGAGGGAGGAGTATCCACGACGACGACATGGCAACGATGATGACGGTGATAAGGAAAGTTTGATAAGTGAACAGAGTGGAAAGACGCGGATAGATAGAGGCGGAGGAGAGAGACCGGCCGGTCGGCCGACCACACACGTGTGCACTGACCACAGATATGCGAGGCGTGCACGCCATGTCGAGTGAGTGCAGTGAGTAATATATACATTGTAGCGTGCGATAGGTGCCGCCGTCGCGAGGAGTGAAGAGTGAACGACGGTGTGAAGTGAGGCGAGCGAGAAACGACCGGGTGGAAGGGAAACGGCCTCCGTGACCAGGTCCTCCTCGCCGTGTGTGTGTGTGTGTATCAATCAGCCCGCGTATGTCAGCCGATCCACGCCGCGAATTCCCCGGATCGTCCTCCATCGACCTCCAAGGTATGTATTTTCGCAAATATGTCGCCGATGTATCGAGGATGGAGGGGGGAGGGGTGAGAGAGAGAGAGCCGTGACGAGATTCAAGACACACACACTTCGTCGCTAAAAAAACACACACACACACACACACACACACACACACACACATATAGTAATGTAACACACACACACGTGCATGTAAAAAAACCGGAACGGGGTAGGTATTACGAAACTGTCCGGGGAAGTTTGCAATCGGAATTATTCAATTATTCCCGGATTTTCTATTGCGTTTTTCTTTTTAAATTATAGAAAAAACGGAATTGTTCCGATCGAGAATCTTTTCAAATAATTTTAAAATATCAGGTCGATGGAGAGGCCTATCCTTTAACTTTTAACGACAATGCTGTTATCGTTACGTTATCGTTGCGCAGGTTTACGACAGGAAAGTTATGCAATGACAAAGTAACGGCGACGACATTGTCACTAAAAGTTACAGAAACATGGGGCTTCATAGTGTATCTACCGTAGAACTTTTCGGACTGCATCCCGATAAGGTTCTTTTTTCCTGAGAAAAAAAAACACACAATAGACATCTAGAGAATAACTGAATGATTCCGGCCGGAAACCTTCCTGGACGGAGTTCCGCACAGAAAGGTACCCAGTTTTCTGCATCGAGATAGGTTCATTTGTTTGCACATTCGTTAGCGCAGACTTTACCATCTAGCTTATTGGGTTTTTCACAGGTGTTTTGCATAATTTTGACCGTGGATCTGAAAAGATTTCCTTGTTTCTATTTAGTTAAAAAAAGAAGAAAAAGTACGATTCAATTGATAGGACCGTTGAGATCAATCGTTCGGGCACCAATCGCCCTCCGAGTTGGGCTGCTCATGGATTCGTGAGACCGAACATCTCTCTCTCGTCCCTGTTGTTCTTTCACGGTATTAATATATCGATCTGTCAGAGAGAGAGAGAAAGAGAGAGAGAGAGAAAGAAAGAAGGAGGGAGGGAGGGAAACACCGTTAATATTTCCAATATTTCGCCCGCATTCGCGAACGCCCGACTTTTTCCCCGTGAATCGGGCGAAATTATGCTCGTTCAACGAGCGGCCGAATGCGCGCATGCGAGCGAGCGATAGGAGGAAAACACGTAATTGTCATTTTCCGACTTGCGATAAGCCGCACACAATTTGCCTACCGACAAGGTCCGGCGCGGGTCCTTTAGGCGCAAGGTGGTTTTCCGCGGCTGAGCCCGCGCGCGCCTTACGAATTTCCAACCTCAGCTATACCTGCATTGGTGAATACTCGGCACGTGCTGCGTAGCTACTAAGAAGCCACGCGGCAGCAGCCGACCGACCGTCGCTTTTTAGAAACAGCGGTGATCTCGGTGTTAGAGCGGCGTGACGTTTCTTTTACCGCGGAGGCTTGTCGATGTTGTAGCGCTTTCCACTTCCTACTCGGATGTTTTCCCCCCTTTTCTTCCCGCGAGTTTCCGAACTCGCTTTGTAAGACCGGCGGACATATTCTGTGACTTTCAACGACAGTGTCGTTGAAAGTCGCCGGATAGATTTGCAAATCCTCCTGAATCGTGGCCGACGACGGAGACAGACAGATAAAAACTGCTCATTGGTTCATCCGAGACATCGTGGAAGTCTTAGCTCTTAAACATAAACGATCTGTTCTTTTTAGCTGAGCAGTAAGTGCCTAACATCGGAACTTGGTTCCTTCTTTTCTCTGCCATCGCCAGATTTATCTTTTACTTCCTTTTAACACAAGTGCAACCTGATTCAGCTAAAAGAAACAGACCCACGCAAGCTCCGTTCATTTTTCACATTTCAACGCTTTCAAACATTTACCGTCGTGGGTCGATTACTTTGTGGGACGAGCTTCAGGGAGGTTAATCATGGATGTTTTTCTCTAGCGGGAACTCGCGAAAATGTTCTGACTTCGAGAGCATCGGAAACGGCTCGCTTTTTCACGAATTCACACTAGAGGGGAAAGATGATTCATGATCAGTGGATGCATTCGGTGGTCCAATAGGAGCATTAGTCTTCCGTCCGAATTAGCAAAACTAGTTAGGAAAAAAAAATCGATTCTCCTATTGGACGGGTCGCGAGACTCATTGAGGAGAGAGAAAGAGAGAGGTGTCGCAGCCTTTCGTGGCCGGGACACAGCGAGACGGTTTCCCGGTGGGGAATCCGTTCGCTCGCGCGACGCGTGACATAACTCTCGACGCACCGCCGAGTCCGGAGAGTCATGCACACACATCTTTGCGCGTACCGAGTTTAGAGACCTCTGAGAACGTGTATGACGTCACGTATAATGCCGACACGCGGCGGCGGCAAAACGGGAGAAGAAAGAGAAGCTGCTGCGAGCAGGGTGGTGTACGCGTTTAATTGGTTTATGTAAGAATCCGCCACGTGCGGCGACTCTCTCTCGCGCGCGCGCGGCAAAAATGGCAGTTTCTTTCACGTGTCTTATCTAAGATGCGGGAGGACGTAGAAAAAAAACGTGAGCCGTATATAACACTTAAGTGGAGTAAAGAAAATAACCAACCAATTAATACGTTTCTTTAGGATTTTGGACTCGTTGAGATCATAGTTGTTTTCGCCCTGAGGCCTTATATAAAACTTATCGTCATTTCAATCTTCGTCTTTTGGAGTGTGCGAATCTAAAGAAAGAAACATACCGATTGGTCGGTCGATTTCCCCGTTGTTCGTGAGTTTTATCTACGTTACGTTTTTCTACGTTCTGCCACTAACTCAAAGCCCTCAGATATCTCCGCTTGATCAAACGGTATTCGGCGGCGGGTAGTAGATGGAGGCGGAGGCGTATGAAGGTGGGACCAAGCGAATCAACGAGCGCGAAACATCCGCAAGCGAATCCGGGAAATGGATGTGGACAAACATTCTTTTGGACGAGCAGCCAATGATTACGCGAGATCATCACGAACATATTTGTGCCGATGTTCATTTTTGCTGGTTCGTGCTCGCCGCGCCGTCTAATTTTTTTTTTTTTTCGTGCTCTCGTCCGCTCGGCCTGGACCCACCTTTACACGTATAAGAAAAGGGACGAAGAGAGGGAGAGGTCGCGTGTGGTTTCTTCTTCTCCTGCGATACAACGATCATTCACGGCCGAGAGACCCGAGATGCGTGCGCGAAACCGCCACCGAATCGCCTTGCGAAAACATCGTCGCGAGAGCTCTCCGTGTGCCAGCGGCAGCGGCCGGCAGTGGGGACCGACCCTGCCGTCGAAAAATCGATTTCCCGTAGGGCATAAGGGCGAGCGAGCGACTGGGAGGGCGTCCGCGGGAGAGGGAACGCCGTGCGGAGAGACGAAATTCGGGAAAATCCCGCGAGAGACGCGAAAGAGAGAGAGAGAAAACAAGAGCAATAGAAAGAGACCAGCGCGCAAAACCCGATCTCTCTCCTTCTTCTCTACACAGATATATATCGATATATATATGTATATATAAACATATAAATATCTGCATATGTATAAAATATATATACAAAGGGGGGGTGGGGAGGAGGGTTCGTTTCTAGTTCGTTCCCGATGCGGCCGCGTCGGTGGGTGAGAACGGCTACCAGCGCGTGTGTGTACGCCGCGCGCGCGGCGGCGGCGGGCGGTGGTAGGGGCAGGGGGGTGAGAGGAGAAATAATTAATGTGCGACCCATTCCTTTCCCCGCGCGCGCGGTCGTACGCGGCACCCCCTTGCTCCCCGTGGCGGCCCTCTCTCGCGCTCCTCCGCGCTTATCCCCCATACCCCCTCCCGAGCAGCTACGGGTCTCTTGTACCGCTAACGCTTAGCTGCCATTGTGTCGGGACGCCACTTCCGAAGTATCAAAACGTTAATTCTTTGATTGTGGAGCGCGCATCTCTCGGGGCCGCTGCTGCTGGTGCACCGAAAACGCGGCGGCCGCGCGCGCGCGCGCGCGCGAGAGAGAGAGAGAGATAGTGTGTCGTGTGTCGTTGCTTCTTCTCTTCCTCGTGCTGCTGCCGCCGCTGGTGGTGGTGGCGGTGAAGGAGGTGGTGGTGTGTTGTTTGAACACAACGTGACGACGCGGCCACCGTCGTCGAGACGACCCTGTCCCATTTCGTCGGACGCATTCCCGGAAATCACCGCTCTCGCGATCGCCTGGCGAATTCGTGAAAGTTAGGTTAGGACAGTTACTTCCGCAGGTATTGGCCGATCGCTCGCTCTTTCTC